GTGATTAGATCTAGAAAACAAGAAAGTTATTTACAATAAAAACATGCAAATTTTTATCCTTTTTATAAGGGATATCCCGGGAGCACCCAAAATTTGTTGCTTTAGATAAGAGGGCCAGCGAAACTGAGTGGTTCTTCCACTTTAAACTTTTGGGGACCACAACTAGCAAGTCAGTGGGTTTGTTGGAAGAAATGACATTAACTTAATTAGCATTATCTTAACTTTGACTTGTTATTTATCCTTTCCCATGTGAAATAGACAAGGCAGAGTACCCTTTTCTAAGGGAGAGTATCAGAGTACCCATTTTCTACATGCCAGATCCTTTATTGTCAAAAAAGCAAGAGATCACTGTCATTTAATTTCTCTTTGATTGGAGAATACGCTTAAATTTCTCTGTTTAGAAGGACAGGATGATAAAGATGTATCTATACACTTAAGTCTAGTAGGCCACTAAGAAAGTGGCAACTGAGTAGAAAAGGGAATAAACTTTAATGAATTTATTTATGAAAAATATTACTCTTATTTCACATAAGAGAACTTCTCTTATTTTGATTTTGGTATCTCATCTTTTTTTCTTTTTTTTCTTTTTTTCTTTTTTCTCATAATAGCCGGATTCACTCATTTTTTCTCTATAACATAAAATAATTATCTTATGTAAAAGAAGACTAATAAAATCCTTCATTTATTATTAAAACATTGCTGTCTATCATATATTCTCCTTCAGATTTTCTCATTTTTTAAATCAAGTAACTTACTTTTTCTCTTCTTTAATCAGCTAGCATTTGTAGCCAACGGATGGAAATTTGAACCTTGCTTCTCATTTTTAGTGGAAAGCCAAAGTCATCACACATATTGTAATATAAAAACTTATGTTTTTCACATTTTTACCAAAATGATATGTATTAAAATGTAAATAAAAGTTCTTCTCGATAAAAATTGATAAAAAATTTGTATAAAAATAATAAAAACGCAAGTTTTTACGTTTTTATATAAACAAAAAAACTGAACCGGATCAACTTTTAACTCATAACCTGGTCTTAATTTTATTTTTATTTTAAAAATAAAATAAAAAACCCTATTTCTATTTTCCTCAAATCAAATGCACAGTATCTTCTTCTGGTTATCTGAAGAAAAAAAAAATCCTCACACGAGGTCGCTATATTTTCATTTATGAGTTGTTAAACCATATTCTTTTGATGTTTTGGAATGAGGTTATAGGAGTTGTTAAACTCTTTTTGTGTTTTTGCACTTATGTCTTATATAATTATGTGACTTAATTATATCTTTTAAATATGAAGTTGTTTATTGATTTTTGAGTAGTGATTTATATGATATATTTTTTTACATGCATATATATAATTTTGTATCTTGACCTTAAGTAGTAGAAACTTCACGTTTCGTGTCGTTTCTATGATTTATGTTTCTACCATTTCCTTTCATTTCTGCATAGAAACTCAATCTTGACAATATTATTCACACGAACTATAGCTCAAGTAGTTAAAATAATTTTTTTATTTAGAATTTTTTAAATACTATGAAAGCATAATTTTTTTCAGATCTATATCATTAATTTATACAGAAATATTACAAACATATATTCTTTTAAATATTTTTTTTTTGTATAAAGTTTAAATATTTTTATTATATTATTTATTATGGGATACGTTTTATATTCTTCTATAGTTAAATTTTTTAAAATAACTATATTAAATAATTCAATATTTTTAAAAAAATTAAAGTGGTGTTTTAATAAAATTCCTTTTAACGTATATCAACTTGATTAAGCGCACCATCATCCATCATCTCCTATTTTTTTTTCTTTTGGTATCCTTCATCATCTCCTAATTTATTCACACTTACAATTGGAATAATACACAGATTATAAACAAAAAAAATCTGAATGTCTCCCACTTTCCAGACACGAAACCTTTTTTTTCAAAGAACATGAAGTATGACATGTAAAGTATATTAGGGAATAAAGGAATTCCATTGAACTATGATATATGAGTTTAAAATTTTCAAATGTTTTAAGAGATAAAATTATTTCCTCTATACAGATAAAAATGTGAGAATTATGGGAGACTATATGTTAAGAAGAGAGAGAGAAAAAATTAGGTCTCATATATTTTTATATATTTATAAAGGGGCAAGTTATATTTACAAATTTTTTTGTTTACAAACTACATTAAGTACGACCGGTCATACTTTAATCATGCAGTGTACGACCGGTCGTACTTAGTGTAATTTGCAAAAAACAATTTGTAAACGGATCCTATCCCATTTATAAAAGATAATTTTGTTTACCTAATTTTTTTTTTTTTATCTTTACAATATAAGAAACTTAAAAATCATGATATGTATTATGCATCGTAAAAGATGTATGGCGAATCACCATATCTACGTTCGGGAGGCGAGTCAGAAATTTAGGCTGAGGCGTTATACTTTTTTTTTTTTTTTTGGAGTTATCCAACCCTAATTATTTCTTTGAGACGAGTTGGCTCCCTCCGGTATTCCCACGAGCTTCGACTCTTTGAGCCGGCTATGAGACTAATCCGGAGTGCGGGGGAACAGTGATGGCTAAAAGTTTTTTAATTAATATTTAGAAATAAAAGTAAAAGAGAAAGTAAAATTTGTTATAGAAAATGTGTTGTTAAAAATGTTATATATACATCCCACTTCATGACGTGATTTCTTAATTCTTAATTAAAATGTTATTAATATGTTCGTCCCACTTCATGATTTTTCTTTCATTTTGTATATATAAATCTTATATAATAATAAAAATTGTATATTTTGCACAAAACTTTTTAATAACTAAAAGAGTATGTATTTAATTATTTTATAGAAAAATATATGAAAAAAATTACAAAGTTAGAGGAACCATAGAATACCTATATTCACTTTACTTTGCCTCTGTACACATGATAGTTCTTTAGATAGATAAATGATCTCCAATTGATTGGTCTCCATCTCAATGCACGAACACATTGAATTAAGAAATGTTAACAACACATTTTTAATATTTTTTATGGGGATGGTTATACTTACCACCAAGTAAGTTTACCACCCTTACAACCAATCTCCTGACCGTTAGATTAGAATTGAATCTAACGGCCCATAATTATCTCTTATAATTCTAATTTTTTTCTCTCATCCCTCCCTAGGTTTGGAAACTGCGCCTCTCCAAAATTCATCTCTTCATTGTTACAGTTTCTATCAAAATTCAAGGTTTGTCCCAGTTTGTTTCATGAATCCGTTTCTGATGATGGTGGGAGGATATTATGAAATCGCTTTTTTATTATTTGCCATCGATGATCTTCCCATGATTATGGTTGAATTGTTTATAATAAAAAAGTTGCGAATTAGATTTTTTAAGGAATTCACAACTTTTTATTAAGGAGCAATTCCCATCGCTTTTTAAGGAATCAGATTACAATGAATTCCCATCGCTTTTTATTAAAGAATGATTTTTTAATAACGAATAAATTAGTATAAAATAATGGAAGAATTCCCATTCAGCGTATACATAGCAATTCGTAGCATGCATCCATGGCTGTATACGGTGTTTCAAATTCAAACAGAATAAACCACAAAGCATCATAAAGATTGTGACCAATTTAGTTTACAATCGAAATCAATCGGAGGAAAAACATGAAATGAAAAAATGAGGATGATAAAGAGAGGATGAGAGAGTTGATTCCCAAATCTAGAGAGAAAGGTGTGCAGATCTCAAACCTAGAGAGAGACAGAGAGAGAATGGAAGAAAAAAAAATTAAGATTATAAGGGATGGTTATGGACTGTTAGATTCAATTCTAATCTAACGGTCGGGAGATTGGTTGTAAGGGTGGTAAACTTACCTGGTGGTAAGTATAACCGTCCCCATTTTTTATTACTACATAAAATTTTATATTAGTCTTAGCAAATAACAGGATCCTACTTTCTATTAGTGGGACTCATAAATTTTTTGGGAAATAATTTTCTTATGTTGTAGGAAAATGCTTATCTTATGTTGTAGAAACAAGATTACAAGTGGGACCCATAGGTAAGAGGAGAGAGAGAAAAAAAGAAATGGGACCCACCTAGCTTTTGTGTGTGTAGGAAATGTAGTTATCTTATGTAAAAGTAGATAAATATAACCCAAATTTTTTTACCTTAAAATAAAAATATCAAAATATTTTAGCATTTCTCCCCCAAATTTGTAGAAGATATGGCAAGTGGAATGCCTACAATCCAAGATTCAATCACACAATCAACTATCTCTGAAGTAGAGTATCCATAAACCGAAGAAATAAAGAAATAAAATCATCTTTTTTCTCTTAATAAACAAGAGGCTGCAAATAACCTTTTCTAGATGCCCTCAACACTCAAAAATATTAAAAAAAGTTATCTTCTTTTTCTTTTTAAATCTGGGATAAGATTTATTTATTATTTCATGAACAACACAATTTCATGTCCTATTGTCATTAATGGTATCTCTTAGGGGTGGCAAAACAGGTCATAACCCGGGACTTGACATGCCAAAATGCGTGTCATGTCAACCCCTGAGTTCAAACGAGTTGTGTACGGATTCGAATTTTTGATACGAAATAATATCATGCCGTGTCAAAGGTTGACTTACGCGACCAGCATATCAACTCGTATTGGAGATATTTTTAGTAATTCACATTATAAAGTCCTATTCGAGTCGTGTCGTATCAACCCGTATCGTGTCTACTCGCAAGTATGCATGTCAATTTCAGATATTTTTGATATTTTTTTAAAAAATAAATTCTCAATTTTTTCATGTCGTGTCGACCCGTGACCTACGACAGGTCGTGTCCGGATTAAAGTTTTTGACCTATTAATGAAAACTTGTCATCATGTCATGCGACTCACTTTTGCCACCCCTAACTTTATCACCTAAAGAATTATTAAACAAACCCTCAAATAGAAACATGTGTTAGCAGTAAAAGAATCACTGCCTATCTCCGCGGACTCGAGTTCCAAATCAACAATAAATACCAGCTATCCCTGCATTTCTGCAGCAAAGTCAAAAGAAGCCAGAGACTAAATTGGCTAAGACTCTTATGCTGGAAAGAGAGCACGGTGACAAGATGAATATGCTGATTTTCAAGTGTCTTCAGATTGCTTTGCTGCTAGTTTTCTCTGGCAGATACACCATAGCAGAAAAGAAAACACAGCAATCTAAGTGGACATACATAATTCACATGGACAAGTTCAATATGCCGGCAAGTTTCAACGATCATCTCCACTGGTATGATTCATCCCTAAAATCAGTATCAGAATCTGCAGAGATGCTGTACACCTACGAACATGTAGCTCATGGCTTCTCCACAAGGCTAACTAACCAAGAAGCAGAGTTACTCGCAAAGCAACCGGGAATTCTGTCGGTTATCCCTGAAGTTAGGTATGAGCTTCATACAACTCGAACACCAGAGTTCCTCGGCTTGGAAAACACCACCACCACCACCACTCCTCTTTCGCTTGCCTCTGGAAAACAGAGCGAGGTGGTTGTTGGACTACTAGACACTGGTGTATGGCCTGAACTAAAAAGCTTCGATGACACGGGACTTGGTCCAGTACCCAGTAGCTGGAAAGGCGTGTGTGAGACAGGTAAAAACTTCAACTCATCAAACTGTAACAGGAAGCTTGTTGGTGCAAGGTTTTTCCCCAAAGGCTACGAGGCAGCTTTTGGACCCATTGATGAAAAGGAAGAATCAAGGTCACCAAGGGATGATGATGGCCACGGAAGTCACACATCAACTACAGCTGCAGGTTCTGCAGTTGCAAGAGCTAGCCTCTTTGGTTATGCTTCTGGGACAGCAAGAGGCATGGCCACACAAGCCCGAGTGGCCACTTACAAAGTATGTTGGCTTGGTGGGTGCTTTACATCAGACATCGTTGCTGGAATTGACAAGGCCATCGCAGATGGTGTCAACATCCTTTCCATGTCTATTGGGGGAGGTTTACAGGACTACTACAAAGACATTGTTTCTATTGGAACATTTGCAGCCACAGCACATGGAATACTAGTATCTATTTCAGCAGGAAATGGTGGGCCTAGTGTAGGAACTTTGTCTAATGTGGCGCCATGGACAATCACTGTGGGTGCTGGAACTATAGACCGTAATTTCCCTGCCTATATCACCCTTGGAAATGGGAAGAGATACACGGGTGCATCTCTTTACAATGGCAAACTACCATCTGATTCTCCACTACCACTTGTTTATGCTGGTAATGTTAGCAAAGAATCCGACGGAAATCTGTGTACCACAGGTAGTTTGATTCCTGAAAAAGTTAAAGGAAAAATCGTGATATGTGATCGAGGAAGCAGTGGTAGAGTGGCAAAGGGTTCGGTGGTCAAGAGTGCTGGAGGCGTTGGGATGATTTTAGCAAACAATGAATACTACGGGGAAGAGCTATTTGCTGACCCCTATCTCCTCCCTGCAGCAGCTTTGGGCCAGAATGCCGGCGATGAAGTAAAGAAGTATGTTTTCTCTGCTCACAATCCCACGGCTAAATTTGCATTCGGTGGCACCCAGTTAGGGTTACAACCGTCCCCAGTTGTGGCAGCTTTCAGCGCAAGAGGACCAAATGTGCTGACGCCAAAAATACTCAAGCCAGACCTGATAGCTCCAGGAGTCAACATCCTAGCTGGGTGGAGTGGTGCAGTTGGACCAACTGGCTTGGACGTTGACAAAAGGCATGTGAGCTTCAATATCATCTCTGGAACATCCATGTCATGCCCCCATGTCAGTGGTTTAGCTGCACTCCTTAAGGGAGCTCACCCAGAATGGAGCCCTGCAGCTATAAGGTCTGCCTTTATGACTACAGCCTACAGAACCTACAAAAATGGGCAACCCATACAAGATATTGCCACTGGGGTACAAGCTACACCGCTTGATTATGGTGCTGGACACGTGGATCCAGTAGCTGCTCTTGATCCCGGTCTTGTGTATGATGCTACTGTGGATGACTACTTGAGCTTCTTCTGTGCCTTGAACTACACTTCGTCTCAAATAAAGCTTGCTACAAGAAGACAGTTTACCTGCAACAAAAGGATTAAGTACAGAGTGGAAGATCTCAATTACCCATCTTTTGCTGTTCCTTTTGATGCAGATGATTCAGGCATACGGGGTGGTTCTCAGAAACCAAGCACTGTCCAGTATAAAAGGATTTTATCTAACGTGGGCACCCCCTCAACATATACAGTTTCAGTGTTATCGATGTCTCCCTCAGTGAAGATTGTAGTTGAACCACAAACACTAAGTTTCGGGAAACTGTACGAAAAGAAGAGCTACACGGTTACATTCACGTCTTCTTCTTCAATGCCTTTTGGCACAAACACCTTTGCTCATCTGGAATGGTCGGATGGGAAACATAAGGTCACTAGTCCCATTGCTTTCAGCTGGAATTGACTCTGATATTTGAAGGCCCTTACTCTGAATTACCTGCTGCAAACATTGGTCTGAGTACAAAAAATAATTGTATCTCTTTGCTGTGTTGTTTTGGCCCAGCGAAGAAGCCTAACAGAGCCGGTCATGTGTCTTTTTGCTCTTCTTTGGACATTGATAAAGAATAATTGTACAGAAAAAACAGGCTAATGGCACATCTTAATAATGGCATTGAATGGTAATTCATATTTACCCATCTTTGCGCTTGTTGGCTTACGTGACGGGTGAATTTATCAAATGATTGATTCATTGCACGCATCCGAATAGCATTTCGCCAACACGTTTAAATTTTTTTCTTGTCAATTACCAAGTAGTTAGCACTGATAAGGAAGAAAAATATGAAGCATTTGGCAAAAACTGAAGGCATATCGTTGAGTAACAGCTACACATCAGAATTGAAGTGATCCACAGCCTACATTAAATTTATAGGTTGTTCGTGCCCGATCCTCTGATCACCTCGGTGGACCAACCTGGTAGGATTAAACGTATCCCTGCTTTCTCTGTAATAAGGTCAATGGTTACTTGGTTAGCCATAAACTCATGCACCTGAAAACATGGGACAATGCCTCTGACGGATAAATACGGGATTGTCCCTGCCATCGAGGCCATCACCATAGACTCCCATTTTTTTGCATAAAGACAAATAAAAACAACTTTGAAAAGAAATCTCAGCTAAAAACAATCTCCAAACAATCAATACCACCTATATTGATAAGAAAAAAAGACCCGTCTTTCCATCAGAATCCTAAATAAGAAACGTTACCATGTGAGTAACTACATTTGACTATTTTTAATTGGAAACATTTCCAGTAACAAATCATTTGCTTAGTTGGTTTAAGAAGATGATGACATTTGCATATGAATCCACTGGATTGATTGTTACCCCAACTTCATATTGAAAAGCTTGACAAAGGAAAAAAGAGGAATTAGATTAGGCTCTTTTGAAAGAGAGACAAGCTGACACTTTTAATGCGAAATTCATAGTTTTTCTAATGATTATATTCTAAAATGAAATCCTTCCATATTAATTACAATGCATTTTCTTGAAACATGTTGGTTATAAGCCCATAACTTCTAGATTCAAAGGACAACCAATTTAATCAAAATATCAAATTTCCAAATAAAGCTCAAGATTTCAATTGGACACTAACAGTATTCTTATTCCTTACAATACCATTTACTACGTTACACAAGCAACTAACACATCATGTGCTAGACTCATTTTTTAAGATGTGATCAAAATCAAAAGCTAAACATCACTCAGAGTCCTCTACAGACTGACAGACAGGGAGGTAGTACGTATCAAGCTGCCAATATCTGTGTTTCACACCTTCCCAAACCTGTTCTCCCAAACAATCCTTGACAGGCAATGGAATTAATTGTGTGGAATACCCCAAATTCTCAAGCTCAAGAGATACCAAATGGCAGTAAACAACATGGAAAAATGCATTACCGCCACAAAGGCCATTAAAGAATGAGTAGATTCCACCCGGCTTCAACAGTGCTGGGAGATGTTGGTGGAACTCTCTCAGGTCTTCATAGTACTCCCCGTAAGTGTCGAAGAATATTCCTGAACAAAATTCACCCAAATGCCCCATTATCAATGAGTTAACAAAACATAATTCATATACAATTCACCAGCATTAGAAACAAATAAACAGATAAATTACCATCATATGTTTCAAGCTGAGACAGAACATCTTGCCAGCGGCCAAAAATTAACTTAACATTTTCCTTCTGACCCCAACCTGTGCTAAGCATGCGTTCATAAACCTCTGGATGAGCCTCAACAATGGTGTGTGTGGCAGGTGCATACTGCTGAATGGCTGTGTCCACTAGACCCATTCCAAATCCAATATTGAGTATGTGACCACCTCCTGAACAAACAGCTTTAGCATGAGCCTCCATCAATGGCTTCTCCCAAGCCATCATCACAGCTTTGCTATCAGAGTCCATAAGTTTATCTTCACTAAAAGTAACCCTATCTTCCAAATAATCATGATCGGAATTGGAATTTTTATTTTCTTTCCTTGCAATTGTGCCCAGTATTAATTCAGCTTGAATCCCTAACAAATCCCAATACGAACAATAAGTGAAACTTGGCAGTGTATTAAGACATAAATCATGGTTTGAATTTGCGCGTACCGGTATTGAGGAGGAGCTCGAAGGCCTCATCGTGACCTTCTTGCATAGCAAAGTCACCGGCGGAGAGGTTGGACGGAGAAAGAGCATTCCAGGGAGCGCCTGCGGAGAGGAGGATGTTGATGACGGGTGCATGGCCTTGTTTTGCAGCGTGCATCAGAGGATTAAGGCCTTCGCCGTCGAAATGGGTGACGTCGGCGCCGGACTCTATCAGAGCCCTCACTTTCTCCGTGTCACCGTTCTTGGCCGCCTCGCATAGTTGTTCCACTTCGTTCATGTTTGCTGACTCAAACCCTCCTCTGAAGCTCCATACTCCAAAACGTTAATATTTCTTCCATTTCCCTTTTTCTTTTAATCAAAATACAAATTTATTGTTATAATGTTTACTCGTTTCTTTTAATAATAGTTTTCACATTTTTAATAATTTATCTTTTAATTCATACGATTAAAATATCAGTTTTAACCTTTTTAAAATTTTAATGGGTGGTATGATTCATGTAGTTTACCCTCCTTAAAGTAATAATAAAGAGTAGTATAAACATGGAAGGATGGGGCAAAAAAATTAATTTATTGTTTTTTTAATAAAAAATTACGAATAAGTACTCGTTTTGAAATTAATTACGAAAATATAACAGTTAAATACGCCTCATAGGGGCGTGATCAGTTGAAGAGAGACACGCCCAATGTTGGGCGTGACCTAAGCGTGACTCACGCCCACATGGGGCGTGACCAAGTTGGAGAGAGACACGCCCAATGTTGGGCGTGCTTCACTAGGTGCTGCCACGTGTCACAAAAGTCAATAATTTGACCGTAAAACTTTGGAAGTCCATAACTTTTGACTCGGGTATCCCAATTAGGTAATTTTTTTTTATTTCACATAACTTTTCGAGATCTACGTAATGACACCTAATTTGACCTATTTTGTCTCTCACAAAAAAATTTGAATTTACAACAATGATACCATAATTATTAAAAATGACATGACTTTGTTACCTTTTAATTATTACTAAAAATAATCTAACATTTTTATAATCACGAACAAAAACTTAAAAATCAAAATAAAACGAAAAGCACTCACTTTAACTTTTTAATATAAATTATTTGATATTCTGTCACCGACAGATGTTAACTTTTATTAATTATAAATTTCATAAAATTCTTCATTCAAAATTTCAATATATATCTCAATAACATATATAATTAACCTTATCATAAGTTACCATAATCATAATGATCTTTATTATGAATGTTTCTAATCATAACAGTGGTTTTCTGTCCATTAATTTTTGTTTAAACGTTCTTATGGTTTCATTATTGAAAATTCAATTTTTTTTGTGAGAGACAAAATATGCCAAATGAGGTGTCATTACGTAGATCTCGAAAAGTTATGTGGATTCAAAAATTTTTTTACCTAATTCGGATACCCAAGTCAAAAGTTATGGACTTCCAAAGTTTTACGGTCAAACTGTTGGCTTTTGTGCCACGTGGCAGCACCTGGTGAAACACGCCTAACATTGGGCGTGTCTCTCTCCTCGGTCACGCCCAACATTGGGTGTGTCTCTCTCCAACTCTCCAACCGGTCACGCCCTTATGGAGCGTGTTTAACTGCTATATTTTCGTAATTAATTTTAAAACGACTACTTATTCGTAATTTTTTATTAGAAAAATAATAAATTAATTTTTTTGCCGGAAGGATGGATCGTTTATAAGTTTTTGTTTATAAATCTTTGTAAATTACACTGCATAGTATAACCTAGTGTATTTAGAGGAGTACATAACGTTATTTTTATAACTATAATCCTCTCCAATAATAATATTGGTTATTCGAACTTAATCAGTAATTTTGAGTTTAAATTCTGTCATTTAGTTGGATTAAAAACTTGATAATAAAAGCTTCATTATTCTTGTGGTTCTTACCAATTCAATTGAATTAATAGATTAATTGATTTTTTTAGGGAAATTACAAAAAAAAATGTTTTAATATATAAAGCTTTCTAAATACACATAGAATTAAGATATTAAGGAAAAATGTGTGCCAGAAGAGGTAAAATTGTGTTATTTTAAGTAAGGGTGTTCGCGGGCTGGATTAGATCGATTTTGGAAGCAAAAATCATCTGATCTAATTCCTTTGGTTTGATTATGTAATTATTCTTTCGGTTTGAATTTTTTTCAAATCCGATTCGAACCAATCCAAATTTTTTTCGGTTTGGATTAGATCGATTTTCGGTTTTTTGAAAATCCAAAAATTTATTTCATAATTATTGTGCAAATAACATCTTTTGTATATATTGGCTTTCTGAAATTTTTTGTTGTTGTTAAATACCAAAGTATCAGTGAACGATAATATAATTTTTTTTGGCAAAATGATATATGAAACTCTACACGGATGAAATTTTGTTAACGAGTTGTGACTAGATTTTTTCTTGGGTTTAGTTGATGGGTTAATGGATCTTGGGTTTAGAAATTTTTGGGCTATGATTGAGGAAAGGTCCAAGCAGGTAAAGAAAAATTAATATATTGGATCGATTTGGATTGAATCAATTTTCATCAACCAATTTAAAAATCGATCCAATCCAATTAAAATTTGTGATTTTTTTCAGTTATTTTTAAGTGAGAGAAAGAGATTCATGAAGAAAAAAAGTGAACAAATAAAATAAAAATATAGATCTCACCTTTTTATAAGAATAAAAGGACATAAATATGTCATTTAAAAAGAGGAATAGTTCTCCCAATATATAAATGATGAAATGGACACAGCAAACGATAATCCACCTTAAGAGGGTTGTAAACTTTTTATTTTAAATTTATGGGAAAAATATTTATCCTTTTAAATGACATAATTTATATTTTTTCACTCTCACAAAGAGGTGAGATCTATACTTTTTCATTTTTTATTCACTCTTTCTCTCTCTCTCTCTTCCTTTATCTATCTCTCTCACTTAAAATACACAATTTTACATCCTTTAAAATGATACACATTTTTTCCTAAATTTATATTACTTGAATTAACTTTAAAGGCTTATTAAATTAGCTGGCATTGTTATTGATTTTCATACGAAAAAAATAATAGAAATAAGCCGCTATCAAAGCATCTTCTGGAAAAATATTTTTATTCAGGAAAAACGATTTTTAAATGTTACAAATATATTCGACAGTGGAATACAAGTAGCGACGAATATCGTCTATTTTATGTACGGTTATCCTAAAATAAATATGAAACTTACTAACAAATTTAAATGAACTTAATTCAGATTGATTATTCGTAAAAAAACAATAAATTAAGAAATTTTAGTTTTGAAAATGAAAATTAACAAGAGAAGAACAATGAAAATTTAGAAAAACTTTTTTTTTTTTGGTAAACAGAAAAACTTATTTTTAACTTGACGAGCTGATTGACGCTCGTGGATATGCTCTGGTGCAACTAAAAAAATCAAAGCCACGTCCTCTTTTAAAAAACGTTATGGATTAATTAATCTTAATTTAGAAAAGCTATTTTAAAAAAAATCTAAATAAAAATTATTATTGCTCAAAATTTAGGATAATATAATTATTTATAAATTCTTATAAAATTTACAAGATTTAATGATGGCGAGGCATATAAATATTAATGTATATAATTATATGGATTCTAAAAGTTTTAGCACCGTTTACGGGTAAAATAAAATTATCAGTAATGTTATTATTTGAATCAACTATTTATTTGCATAATTATTTTTTAAATAAATAAAAATAATAATTTCAAACAAACAACCGCTGAAAATATTTGACCTTTCTAATAATAAGATAAGTTATTTTACTTATTATTTTTTCTATTTATTTTTGCTTACTACCTTTCAATATCATTAGATCAAAATCTTAAGAAGAGAAAAAATAAATATTACTTAAGATTCTAATCTAATAGTGTTTTAAAGTGATAGACAAAAATAAACAAAAAAAGTAATAGATAAAATAACCTATCCTCTAATAATTATCATATCTATTTATCAGACATCAACCACAAAAAATTTAAAAAAATCTTACCTTTTAATGATTACCCCTTCTCCCATCTTCACTTTCTCGCTACTTATCTATTTTTATTTCAAATCGGATATAGATTTCCTACAAACAACCATTTTTATTTACGAAAATACATACCTCATGTTCTAGAAAAATATTTAAGTCATGTTATAGATATAGTTAATGTGAATTCACATTAATTATATCTATAACATGACCTAAACATTTTTCTAGACATATGTATTTCCTTTTAAATAGAATATATATATTTTTTTCTTTTGTTCATGCGACATGTAGTGAGGGTATTAGAAAAAACGACGCCGTGGAGACTGCCATGGATATCATTAGACATGTGGTATATTCATAGTTTTCCCATGGAGAAATTTTCGTTGAGTGCAGCCAAAAATAATTTGGGGAGAATCGCATGGAATAAGAATCCGTTGTACATCTCTCTCTGTAATTTCGTTTCGCACCTCTCGTGCAACTAATCCGATCCGTAATTTCATTGACGAGCTTCCTGGGGAAGCCAAATTCATCATTATTGTCACTTCTTTCTTTCTTTTTATTTAATATTCTGATTATTATTCAATACTGATGGCATCGAGTTTTGATCGATGGGAAAAAGATCCTTTCTTTGGCGCCGCCGAAGAAGTTCAGGAATCTGCAGACAGGTACCTATTATTATAAACATCGTTCCATTCTTCCAATTAGGTTTTCTTCTTCTATTTGTTTTTCGTCGTATGGTTTTATTTAATCTTTAATTTGCTTTTTTTTTCCCCCCTAATTAATTCCATTGCTGAGGAAACAGATGCGCATGCCAAATTCTACCCCTTTATTTATTTAATTTTTGTTTTCATTTGAACTCAGAGATTCAAAAGCTTAGTATTTTTAAGTTCGTTTGTTTGCACAATCCTAAAACCTGCATTGCTCCAATTATATTGCTATTGATTTGCTATCATTGTCTTTTCAAAGGATGGAATCTACGTATAGGACATTGATTCACGCAAAGAAAGATGCATCCAGCCCGTGGAACTGTGATGAAATCCGTCGAGATTTACATACTTCCCTTGGCACTACTAAATGGCAGGTAATCTCTCTTAGTAGAATTTGCTTACCACCATTACGATTCACAACAGATGCATGCATGAATTATGCTCCCTTCTAGTAAATATGATTTGACTTGTTGTATAATTATAATGAGCATGTGGTTGCGTTCGGGGTGGGAAATGCAGTTAGACGAATTTGTACGGGCGGTCAGGTCAAGTTATAGCAAAAGCTCAAGTGAGGATGCAAGAAATAGGCACCAAGAGTTCATTGTTGCCATTGGTGACAAGATTACAAAAGTTGAGCAATTGTTACAAGAATCTGTTCATTCAGATAGCAAGGCATCTCTGCCTTGGGTGCGTTTGGATGAAGGCGAACGAAATGAGCTTGCAATGTTTCTTTCAGGATTGCCAGCTGCTGCTGGAGGTAAGAATCCCATTAAATGTATAATTAAGTGCTAAAGATTCATTCAGCAATTGTCCGAGCAATTTACATGTTTCATCTGGGTGGTGTTCCTCGGAAGCAGCAGAGGAGAAATCACATGGGCACCGCAGGGCGGCTAGTGCTGATGCTGATATTAGTTCTTGGCAAATTGCTGTTTCTGATGATGTGCAACAATCGAGTTCCTCCAATGATTCTTCTGGTCAAATGCATAAGGTAGCCAGTCTCTCTGGATTTCTCAGTTCCATGGGATCCGTCTCTAAGTTGAAGTGGCCTAAGAATGGTTATAGAAAGCTGAAAGTTGTGAATCATCATCAAGAAACTGATAACACACTACTACCGTCAACTGCATTGAATGGGGTGTGTTCTTAGTCTGCTTTTATCCCCCCCCCCCCCCCCCCCCCCCCCCCCCCCCCCCCTTTTAATGGAGACTTGCTTGAGCTTTTTTAATGCATTTTGCTGAATGACTAATACTTCATTTTTTTCAACCAAAAAAGGGCATCAATGCATTCCATGAACGAAGTAAGAGTTGCCTTGCTAGTTGTGATGAATGTTATGATAAGGAACTCCATGGGTGGTATGGGGCTATCCAAAGACAGCTTCAAAGATCTCAATACCAAATGCAATACAATCGGCATGTTCAAATAACTGTCTGGATTGTTATGCTCCTTTGCATGATTGGTAAGCTCTGGATTTTTGTTTGTGATTGTGTGTCTACCGAAACATGCTCTCCAATTTCTAAGCCTTAGGAACTGCTTCGTACAACTTTGAAAGTGGTGGAATTTCACCTTCTTTCTCTAATTTTGTGTTTTATTTCAATAATTCGTGTGGCCTTGTTGATAATGCTATCCATTTACCCTCCACCCGCACTCTCGGGTCATGAAACCCTTTTTTTGTCCTTTTTTTTGGGTTCCTTTTGTTGGTGAAAGCTACTTCTTGGTGCTCTACATGCTTTTACATGATTTTGTTGTTTGTGCTTTCTTTTTGTGTTCATGATTTTGTTGTTAGTTATATATTTCAGAATAGACATGAGGCTATTTTGAATTTATAGAACTTCATTATGCAATATGCTTTTTGTTGTGGGAAACTTCCAAATATCATGTAAGAATGATCAGGAAAGTGAATGTGAAGTGGGGAGATTTTGTAATGTTTGCCCCGTTTAAAGTTTTACTAAGAAATTTATAGTTGGCTGTTTTTACCTACCAAGGGGTGTTCCGTGAGCATCCTTACGCTTATATCTTGGTCTATATTTGGTAACTATTTAATGTTTTGTCCCCACGCCTCACAGGCCGAAGGAAGACTGAGAAGCTATGTCAATTCTAAATGCTATGTGCAATTGTTGCTCATATGGGTGTTTCTGTTCAATTATTATTTCTTTTTTCCTCCCTTTCTTGCAACAGTATAAGTTGGTTTACAAGTTTCATTTCTCTGCAGTTTTAATGACTTTTTGCGCAATGTAGAAAGGAAGATTTAGATACATTCTCTGTCAGTTTTGAGTTGGCGGCAGCATGGGGGACGCATAAACAATCTTTTAATATAAGTTCATACAATCTATGTTGTCGCTTAAGCAAGCGAGAGTTTTTTTTCTGGTTCTCGCTGGCGTACAAGGTGTCAACATAACATTTCACGAAGTTTGAGATTACTATTTAGAGTCTTCCATAATCCATACCAGTGGCACTTCCTTCTTCCGTTTTGGCTATTTATTTTTCGTTTTTGCCCCTCCCATTGCAAAATGGTCTCGTGAAGAGGGTTCTCTGTTGTACTATATGACTAGATGTACATGACAAAGTGAATCGAGTTATTAAATGTTGTGATGTATATTATGATGCGAGAACGGTGTTATGTACCAAAGATTTTTAGCCTTGTAAAATTTAGGGACGATATGCTATCTTCGTTCATGTCAATTAAAAAACATCCATGGAAGTAAAACCGAGCTGGGCACGTATGTAAATAACTATTCTTATGGAACGCCCTCCATTTTTAGGGATAAATCATTAAAGGCTGTAGATTAACTACTTGCTATGCCAAAATCTAGAGCTAAGAAAAAATAAGAGGTTTTTAGTATGTCCTAAAACATGAAGCATATATTAATATTGCCTTCTCCAAAATATTTGGAGGGTTCAAACTCAAAGCCTGTATTAGTCAATGAGATTATTATTAATTAATTTTATTCTATTAAACTGTTATTTTAGTTATTTGATGACACATTCAGTTTTACTAGTTTTCTTTTTAGTTTCAGAGTATTTTGTTTTGAAATTTCATACTTTAAAGATGTCTTTACTTTTATTGCGGTATATTTTTAGGTTTTTATTTAAATATAGTATTACATTTAAAATAAGTTTTAAATAAATAGTACGTCTTGATATTTGGACTGGAAATGAATGAGAATGCGCTTTATCATTACTTTGAAGGTCAGAGTGTGTATATGTACATGCTACTAAATTTTCAGTACTACATTATTATGCAATTCTTACTAAAATTGAAAGGTAGAATATGTTTACAAATTTTCTATACAAGGTACTAGTTTATGTTAAATAAGACAAAAATAGTATGAAATAATTAGATTAGCTGCTATAAAAGCTATTACTTTTTCAGACAGACATTTGGATTGTGTGTTCTTTCCAAATCAAATCAAATCAAATAAAATGAATTCTGTAATAAGATGATAAAAGTAACTGAATCGAATTACTTTTATTTTCAAAGAGTTCCAAACACAAAAAGGTTTCCCCGTTGAACCCATATTTTATGAACCTAGCGAAAGAAAGATATCAACTCTCAATTAAAAGCGAATATAAGCAGTACAATCACATTCAGAAAGAGACTTTCAATAAGATGATGATCTAGTAAGTAATAGGGTCTGCTCTGGTGAGGCATCGGTAACCAAAATAGAGAGTGGCAACAAGAATTGGAACAAAGAACTCGTAAAATGCCACAGAGTTGGACATGGCATCTTCTTTGACCACGAAAGCACTCATCTCTTGGCTCTTAGATTCCTTGTCCGTAACATCCTTTAAGTCAACCTCTTGAATTGCGGCACCTTGGAGGACACCTACTTGGTATTTGAGGAGCAAGTTTTGAGCACCACTACTGTGTCCAATAGCATCAAACTCCTTCGTTGCATCTTTCCCAGCAAACTCTAGCAGCACCTCTTCCCCTCCAGGGTGTTCCTCCAAGAACTTTGTGACATCCACCACCTACAAAAATTCAAATAATAGTCATGACCCTCTTAAAATCATGCCTTTGGGTGCGTGTTTTATTTATTACAAATTAGTGAGACACCGAAAGAAGGACCTACTCTGCCATTGATCACAAGCCAACAGTCTTTCTTGGATTTGTGTTGGGCAGCCTGTGAGAGAGTGAAAACCCTTCGTTCTGCCATGGTTCCAAATGAGACTTTTGAGTGCAGTTCCTATAACAACAAACTTTCTAGTTTGTAACAATTTAGCTGGGTACACAAATTTATAGAATGTTGAAAGGTAAGTTGCACATACCCGTTACTCCTACCACGTTTTTTTCTTCGTCCGAAGGTCATCAACTACCCCTCCACCACGTGGATAGGAAGAAACGGGTGTAGCTTATAATTATTCCAAAGATATATCATCGTCATCAAGAAGATATATAAAGAACTACATTTAATTATTACAATTGCGTTTGATTTTAGTTGTATATTTTAATATACAATTAATATTGAGTTTAATTTTAATATATAACATAAAGTCATTTTATTATCACTTAAAAAGTGAACATTTTTACGTCATTAAAAAAATGTTAGTTTTAAAGTAAATAATATGATAGTCAAACTTTTCTAATGGTTTTATAAGACGTGATTAAATAATAATGTAAAAAATGTTATTTTAACAACAATATGAAAATTAAATCTATTATTATTTAACTATGAAACAATTATTATTACAATTTTTTTCATCCAAAATGATTCTAATTTTTGCATTATAAGAGTTCAAGGGAGAAATACAACTCTAATTTTGAGCTTACGCAATTAGATTTTACTGGTAGCCTCTTCTTTAGCATGGGTTTTTTTTTATTTTATTTTATTTTATCATTTTCATTGTCATACTTTATAAGCTTGACTGGAAACGAAAATATTTCAAATATAAAAAACTTTTAAGAGGTCCGTTCACGTTAGAATGGAAAAAAGGACTAGTTAAACATAACCCACAACTCTTATCCATTTATAGAAAGGGCGAAATAGATGGGAGTAAAACCCAAAAAAATGAGAAAAAAGAATCTTATGGCCTGTCATTTAACTAGTATCAATTTCTTTTTGACACGACACCAAACCAGATACTCAATTACGAAAGCGTTGATCAGTAGCTAAAGCTTACTAGATACGAAAACCCTGTCATACTTCTAAGTGAGACCAATACTCCATTGTGACATGACATATAAAAAATAATTTACGTGTGCAAATTCTTACTTATATTTAGGGTGTTTGATGGCTTTCATCTAACCCGTGAATATGGGACTTTTTATTCAATGTAACTCATAAAATACATACTAGGTTGAGTTTATAGCTTAAATTGTGTTGAAAAATATCCCACCTCGCAAGATATAAGTCAAATTGGGCTGAACTTATTATTACTATTATAAAAAGTTGTTCAGTCACAATTATTTTAAAAACTTTATGATTTTAAATTGAAACATATCATTTTATTTGTCAATAACAGGATTTTTTATTTTAATTTTCGTTTAATGTAACTTAAAAAGAACTAAGATTTAAAAAGTTGAATATGTCATCAAGTATTTTATAATAATTTGAAAAAGTAATTTAGGATGAGATTATAATGGATCCCTTAAATGGCAATAAGAGGTTGGAAAAAGTGAATGATTATCTCACTCCTAATTATATTTGTAAAAAGTATAATAAAATTATTTATATTTCTTTCCCTAACAACACAAATTCGAGAAAAAAGTTAATTGATGACAATATCAAAGCCTTAATAACCAAATATTTGATCCTTGTAATTCTTCTTATGAATAAAATGAATTTTTAACACAGGTAAATCTGTGTGCTGTCCATGCTATAATTCTGGCTAAGGGAGAACTATAATAAAGGTATTGATATTCTTTAGTCCAATAACCTAAACTTTCAAAATAATTAAATTTTGACTATATCTAATTTGACTAATGAATAATTTTTTTCCACAAATAATTAATTCATTATGTAGAATATTGTAAGTAAAGAAGCAGTTAATTCAATCTCATAATCAATCAGTAAAAAATATATCCTACTAGAAAACAAAAACAGACAAAATAACAATGATTGAGAAGTTAGAAGCCCATAACCTGACACTGAAATCAAACAGATCAGATAACAATATTCAAAGATAATTATTTATATATCATTCATTTCATAAACTGCTACTAACAGGTAAGATTATCCAGGAAATGCGAGCTGTAACTGGCACTGCAGTGCAATAGTTTGAAAGGACAATAAACGGAAACTCAAGCACTATTTTATCTCCACAGGCTTCTTGTTATTACAAAGGTTATATATGTCCAAGGTGCAAGCAACCATGCAGATCACAAGGTCGACCTGCAATAGGTAGCATTCTGCACTAAGTTGAAGATGCACACCTGTTATGGAGCAGACGCTACGATGAACCTCTTAGTTCTGGGCTGGGTTTAGAGATCTCTGTACTGTTACCTTTCTCTTTATTATCAAATTCCACTCCTTGAAATGTGATCCGTGATGACCGATACTTACTACCAAAAGCAGTCCCAAAACCCCAACCAAGTCCTACTCCAACGCCACAGCCTCCACCTTCAAAATACAATCCAACATACCCAATTGAATATGAAAATACAATTCATAATATTTAATTCATTAAAAAAAGGTTCAAATAAAAATTGGTTCTCTGGCCAATGGATATCGTTATCATATCTGACTAACCAAAACAGAAGAATAAATATTAGAAACCGTGTAGCTGCGAAGTCATATACTACCTTTGATGAAGAGATATTGGGTTTAACCCGTAGGAATGTTTTAGAAGAGAAAGGCTACCCACATCATATAGCATGCCAAAGGCCGAAGCCATTAAATACTGAAGATCAAAACTAAGAAACAGAGAAGGAAGCAAGATTCATGAGTAATATACCTACACCAAGACCCAAAAAGTTCAATGGCATACCTGTGAAACAGACAAGGATAACAGATAAGTTAACTGTAGCGTAAAAGAAAGTCAGGGGGGAAAAGCTGACTGGGCCTTAAGCAGTTGCTGAGATAAAATTGACAAAAATTACAACAAAAGACTCAGATCAAGCCTCAATTTGGAGGAGCATAGAGCAGCAAAAACTGAAAGATCTCACTACTCACTACACATTTCTTCATTCAGATAATTTAACTTTTGCATCATTTTTCACAGGATAAAACAAAAAGAATGGAGATTTAGCCATCAATTTGCCACGTTTGTAAAAGGAAGAATCCAGAGTGCAATAGTTAGATGCTGTATTTTTTACTTGGATTATGATACACAGAAAGAACATAATGCAGGGAAGACCAACTACATAGCAATTCTTCTCATATATGCAGGGACGAGAAAATAAAACAAGCAAACATAGTAGATTGCCATGTAGTCACTTCAAAGTAAAAGATATCAATAGCAAGTGTCCTTATTGTCCACCTCATGAGTCATGACTGCTTTTCCTGATAGCCTAAAGAAAGTCAACAGACTTTCTTATATCAGATTCACTCTACAAAATCCATAAAAGAAATCAATCTTTTGAAATTACTAAGCTGTAATACCATAAATGACAATCTCCATACTTAAAATTAGAGTATTAAACAAGTTGAACCTAAGAAATTAACCGAGTTTGACTATTTTTCTTCTGAGAAGCCATTTTGGCTGTAACCTGATTTATAGTGAGAAGCAAGAAATAAATATGACGGACCTAGAAAGTAGGAGTAGGGTATCTTCTTACTAAATCACGCATTCCAGCTCTCACGTATTGACTCCAAATTAAATACAAAATTTTCAGACATCACTTCCTATCCATCAATAACATATGGAAGTGAAAATAAATTTCCAGTGTACCAAGTGAGTGAAGTGACCTTGAGAAATGAATGTAGTTAGTTTATCACTTATATGGTTAATATAGCTAGAGGCTAAAAGTCCACTCACCGCACGCAGATAACAAAAAAGGAAGAGAGACGGGGCTGGAGATGAATCTGAGAATGATACTTTTATGGAAAACTTGACTAAGAAAAGAAACTATAATAGACGGAATTTGAGTAAGAGAAACAGAATAAGAGCGTGCTTGGTTGAGCTAAAAATATACAGGTGAAAATTTTAGAATGAAAATTAATTAACACATAATGAGTACCACAGAAGTGTGGGATGGTAGAAATTGGAATGCAATCCTTTTTCATTCCACGCCACCATATTTGTTCCATAACCAATAAATAATCCTATAGTATGAAAGTGAGCTAAACTAAAAGTACTTGTCCATCCATTGAAACCTTTCCATCTCACTTGATTTTCCCTCTCCTCTCTATTTTCCAGATTAAATAGTTACCAAATACCAATATACAATCAGTTATAAAAGCATATATAACGAATTCGCCTAGAGCGACAACATTAATATTAGAATAAAATAATTAAAAAGGAGACTGGAAAACTACTTCTGAATTATCTGCACGGTCATAAGAACTTGGATAAAAAAATGATTCCAGCAACTCAAAAAGATTGCTAATAAATAATTTCAACATCAACCAGCCCAGTATACAGATTGCGGCCTTAGGGCGCTTGAAAACAATTTCAAAAGGTAGCAAAATGTCTAAAATGAACCGATTAAAAGAAGTTCGAAATGAAAGAGAAGCAAAGAAAATAAATGCAGCATGAGACAACAAACCTCCGAAGCCCCATCCTACCCCGAAACCGCAACCTACACCGAAACCTGAAAAACAAATATCAGCGTGAGATAAAAATCTGACATTTCGAATATGCAGAAATCGTGGCACCCAAATCAGCATACCAAATCCGACGCCGGCTCCGTTGAAGTTTGTGATGACCATATCTTTGTGTCTGGCTATGCAGAGTAAAGCCAGAGAAGCGACCGAAAGAAATCACAGCAAAATATACAACACTAAATAATAGTAATTAACTAGTAAAGGGTATTTACCCAAAATAAATAAATAATAATAACTAGTAAAGGGTAGAAACTAGAAAGTGAAAGGCCATATGGACTCTGAAACTCATATTGGACCTGGACCCGAGAACCAAGTGCACTCTTTACAATTACTTCGGACGCCTAACTCAAAAGTATGACTGAAAAAATTAGATAGGCTGTTATCAAAAAAAAAAAAAATTAGATAGGCTATTCCAAACTTTTTGTATCTTTGTATATTTTATACTCGGATTATATTACCTATCAATTTTAGAGTAAATGCTTTTTTTAGTCCCTGACAATATACACAAAGTCCTTTTCAGTCCTTAGCAATAAAAAAAAGGATAAATTGGTTCCTGAAATAACAAAAAAGAGGCCACGTTCATCCTTCGGTTAACTCCCACTTAACGGCCCAACTAACGGTGCACAGTTGGCACGTTAGTTTGCTGACGCGGCTTGGATGTGGGACACTGTGAAAAACGAGACGACAACGTTTTGGTCCCTGTCAAAACCATGAGGGCCATTTTGGTCCCTGTCAAAATGCACGAGGACGTTTTTAGTCCTTGACAAAAAGCACGGGGCCCTTATTGGTCCCTAACCAGAGAAAAATAGGCACATGACTTCATTGCTTTTCTATTCAGTCCAATTTTGCAAAACAGAAGTGCATTACATCAGAAACAGGAGTGCAATCCATTTGTTCATCACAAAGTAATTAAACTAAATTTCATCACAAAGTAAAATACTCCTTCTTGGCATTTTATTTCAATGAAGTTTGTGTTTCTAACTGAAGTTTCGACCTTATTAACGATTATTCATTTCTTTTTCAATGCTAATTAAGCTTCCCACTTTGTTAAAAGGGATTCTTGGCTCTTGCAAACAGCTTTTACGATCCCTAGAATACTATGAACTGCTTTAATTCTCTTAGTCTGTATAAGACATAGCGTTATGCGATTTACGAACAATATCTTCAGTAGTGTAGCATTACAATTATACTATTTATTTTTCGATAAAAGATAATTGCATGATTGTTGATATTTAAATACAGAGAAAAATCAGAGAAGAAGTCAGGTAAATGATTGTTAATAATTGCAATGCATGGCAGTTGACTGGACTGCAGCAGTTGGTAGTTCTCAGCCACATGAAGACAACTTGAGAGGAAGCAGCTCACCTCCATCAAATCCACAACAGGCAAATGAGTTGTTGAGTAATGAAACAATGAATGCGGCAACCAGTGGCACACGAAGCAGATTATTGGCCTTCATGAGCACACCTGTTTTAGGCCACCAAGGACTACCTCAAGAAAATGACCTGCTGCTGTATATGACCTGGGAGTAGTGCATGAGCCAACTGAGAAGGGTTTATTATTATGTGACTGACTTTTTTTGAAATTTCTGGCCACTATGTATTTGGAGGCCTTATTATGTCAATATTTTTTTTTGTAAATTCTGGCCATATTGTATTAGAGGCCTTTCTTTTAATTCCTGGCAGTTGGCTTTATTTTGTAATGCACTACTGTACATCCATGTCTTCAAATATAATGATACTCAAATCATGTTCCAGCTATTATGTTTCACAGGGTTGATGAATGTTTAAGTTTACCATTTTTGATGTTTTTTAACTAATATACGTAGTTGTAGTTCTTGTACATCCATGTCTTCTAGTTTAACAAATTGGACTGCATACAAATCCAATTGAATGTCATGTTCCTGTTTTGCAAAATTGGAAGTTTCTGATGTAATGCACTTCTGTTTTGCAAAATTGGACTGCATAGAAAAGCAATGAAGTCATGTGCCTATTTTTCTCTGGTTAGGGACCAATAAGGGCCCCGTGCTTTTTGTCAGGGACTAAAAACGTCCTCGTGCATTTTGACAGGGACCAAAATGGCCCTCGTGGTTTTGGAACCATGTCTATGAAGGTTCAAGAATGATGGTGGGAAATGGCAAGGGAACATCCTTTTGGTTTGACAAATGGCTATCAATTGACCCTCTTATAAATCTTAAAGTGCTGGATATTCCCATAGAAATGCAGGAGGTGGTCTTGGCTGATATGGTTGATGTTAATGGAGATTGGAAATGGCAAGATTTTAGCTATCTGATTACTCAGGAAGCTCTAAACCTCATTGCTGGAATCTGTCCTCCGAATCCAGAAGAGGATGATGACAGAATTATTTGGGATTTATCCCAAGATAGGTGTTTTTCTATAAAGTCTGCTTTTAATATGCTATGTGAGGGGGAGCCTAATAACCTTCAAGTTCAGTGGAATGTTGTGTGGGAGTGGGATGGACCTCTTCGAGCAAAAACTTTTCTTTGGCTTTTACTTGGGGAGAATCTCCTAACAAACCTAAGAGTCCAAAGACATATGGCAGTGTCGAGTATGTGTCCAAGATGCCTAAGTGTGACTGAGGATTGCCTGCATGTGATGAGGGACTGCACCTGGTCAGAAAGGACTTGGAGATTACTGATTAGTCCAGCAAAGTGGCATGAATTTAACTCCTTCCCACTTCAAGCATGTATATATGATAATCTGGATCCAAAAAAATGCATGGTAAGAGGTTTATATGGAAATATTCTTTTTGGTATAATTTGTTGGTTTATCTGGAAAGATAGAAATAAGTTTATCTTTGAAGGAGAGATTCCAAGCGAAGGGAACACAACTAGACTGGCCTATACTTACTTAGCAAATTTCTTGGATGCTAAAAACTTATATGGCAGAGCTGGGCTGCAGCAGAAGATGAGAAAGGAGATTCTTGTGCAATGGAAGACACCACCCTTAGGTTGGATAAAAGTAAACACTGATGGTTCATCTAAGGATGGGCAGCTGCAAGGAGGATGAGGGGGTATCATAAAAGATGAGGCTGGTCGATGGCTGAAGGGGTTTGCTAAGAACCTAGGAGCATGTAGTGCAGTTAAAGCTGAATTATGGGGAATTCTGTGTGGCCTTCAAATGGCTTGGGAGCTTGGGTATAGGAAAGTCATCATGGAAGGAGATCCCTGATTGCAGTGGGAATAATTGAGAAGGGAGTTACTGCAAATCACCCTCTAGCTGGGTTAATCAACAAAATCAAGCGGATTAGGAATTGGGAATGGCAATTGGAATTTTCCCACATATATAGAGAGAGGGAAATGGGGTAGCTGATTGGCTTGCCAATTATGCCAATTCATTAGGATGGGGTATTGCTTACTTAGACTATCCTCCTGAAGGATGTACTGATGCAGTAGGGAGAGACTTTAGAGGTGTAGCCTGGCCCAAAATGGTCAAGGATATGTTGTTTGTTTTTTAATTCCTTTGATATTCAAAAAAAAAAAAAAGAATTAGCATTAGTCTATTTTACATTTTAGAGGAATCATGCATCGACTTTTTTTCCTAAGGGATTAAATTGGGCCTTGTAATATTTGTTGAAGTCCCAAAAAATACTTTACTCCAGCGATATTTGTTGAAAATCTAAAAATATTTTACTCTATTTTCTTTTTATCTTTATTACTATTTTTGTACCATTGGAGAGGGTATGTGAATCATTGGCTTTCCAAAGACATTGGATCTTACTACTTTTTCTTTGTTTCTCTTTTCAAATAGGGATTACCGGTGTGTTTAGAAACCTTTAATTTAGATATTATCTAAGGGTACAAAAATAATAATAAAACTAAAAAGAATAAATTAGTAGGCAAATAAATTTTCATCTTTTCAGCTTTATGCAGCTGTATTTATACAAGTGAGAACCATGTCAATTAAAATTTTGTAGTGTAAGTTTACGTTCCTTTCTCACATTTTATCAAACAAATTGAATACAATATTATTTTCGACAGTCCTGGAGGAGAAGGACAGAAACTCGTGACTACGAATTATCAAACTTGACAAGATCCTAATTTTTTGCGACATCAGTGCTACTACATACATGTCTGTCAATCCAGTTTTACATAGCGGTAGGAGAAAATGACCATATGTATCTGTTTGATTTGTGAATAAGATTTTTCATATGACATGTCATTTCCAACTTGCAGTTGCAGAAAGATTAACCAAAGCAGTGAAACACTCTCAAGACATCGTCACCTGCATCTTCGATCCAAGATTGATGTTCTCGTGGAATCCATTCTTGCTGGGGCGTTAAAGGACAATTCCAGGCCAGATGTATCTCAATCCACTCTCAATGATTCTAGGAACTAACTAGAAACATTATTCTCTCATATTCAAATGTATTATCTCTTACTATTCCATGTATCAGCAAATACATACAATATATTTGTACATCTCAAAACAATGTTTTTAAATGAATGCTATCATTTTCCAGAGCACCCTTGGTACGTGCAATCATAATGATGATCAAATGCGAAGTTACCGAACATAAATTATCCAACAAACAACTGTGCAAAGCAACTATATTACAAATAAATAATTGACTCTACATTCATCAGAGCTTTCTCAATGAGCCACTACAGAAAAGTTTTCAGGTTTCATTTCGCGATAATTCTCAATGGATTTCCAAGAGATAAGAGATTGTGCAGGACTTTCATTTTGAAGGTAGTTATTTCATGAAAAGGCCAGTCGTCCAATTCACTTGTTTTAGACAAGGAGCGAATCAACTAAATAGCAATGCCTTTTATAATCAGAAGATAAATGGAACGAAGTTGTCACACAAAATATTGTAGCCTTTTAATTCTCATGCCATTTAAGTTTTGTTTCCCCTTTTGAAGATACTAGAACTAAATAGATGCGTGCGGCAACAAATTCATTTACAAACACATAAATTCATCTCCCAATACAGCATCATTACAACACAGAAACAGAACACACAACATAAACCTGGATACACAATATCCTTCTTTAAACAACTATTTCCCTCGAGTTTTATTATTCCAAATAAATTAGAAAAAAAGAAATTCAAAGCAGAAGCAGAGTAGCATATCCACTGACCAGGACCAGGAATATCAAGATTCAATTCAAGGCACAATCTTGTAAGCTCTGGTCTTATCTATCCAAGCTACGAAGGAATTCTTGGAGTTCCTGAATCCCAAAAATCCATGCTCTTTGGCCTTGTTCATGCTATCTAAAAGGCCCCCAACTCCCAATATAAGATCTGCAAACCACCACTCAGCAACCTCTTCAAGCTTAGTAGGATGAAGCTGATTCTCCCTCACAATCTCATCCCACACAGGACCCTTGTCCTTCATCATCTCCGACAACCTCAAATGAGAATCCTCCTCAAACCCATAATCATCAATCCCAAACTGTTCGGCCAACACTTTCCACAGATGCTTCCACTTGAAAACATCTCCGTTGCTACAGTTAAAGGATTCGTTTTTAGCATAAGGATCCACAGCAGCCCAAATGTGCTGCTCCGCAATCAAATCCGCATCGGAAGCCGCATAAAAAGATTCCCACGCTTCTTTGGTGCCGGGAAATCTCAAGGGAAGCCCCTCGTGCTTGCAAATGGCGGCGTAAACGCAAAGCGTTCCGATGAGGTTCATCAAACTGTAAGGGGAAAAGCCAAAGATGGTTTGAGGTCTATGAACGGACCATGTCAAACCCTCCTTTTTTTCAGTCTCTTCGAACAATATATCCTCCTGTGTGAAATAGAAATTGGGTGCGTCCAAGCGCGGCAGATCCTCCGTGAACGGCGGTTCGTGGAACTTGATCTTGCCGAGCAGCTCGAAGGGTCCTAGGTAGTGCTTTGTACCTGTCTGGAGGGACACGTGGCGGAGATTGGGAGCGTTTGGGATGAGAGCGCGTAGGACGTTCCTGAGCATAGCACCGTTAACCTCGCAATTCTCGACCTCGGTGGGTCGATTGGTCCACGACACGTAGAAGATGTGAGTGACATCGGTCAATACGGAGAGCTTGGCTTGGGCGTCGTTGGGATCGGAGATATCGCACTGGATGTATTCGATGGGGTTGTCGGCGTTCCAGTCGGGACGGGGCCGCCGTGCGACGCCGTAGACCTTCCATGGTCCACCGGGCGTGTCGACGAGAGGCAGAATCTCAGCTAGGCTGTTGCCGACGATGCCGGTCACGCCGACCACGAGTGCCACGCTCTGGAAGCTTCGCGGCGCTTCATCTTCGTCGAATTTCTTCTGCAGAAGACAAAAAGAAAATCATGAAAAGAAAGAAAAGAAGAAAAGGGAAATGGAGATGGAACAGAGAAAGTTAGTTGGGGTTGCCTTGGCAGCGCCAATAGCTCCAGCCCACCACCAGCTCATTTTTGAAATTGAGTGAGTGAGTAGTTGGGATAGGCCACAGAAAGAGGAAGAATGGCAACTAACTAAAGGGTTTTGAGCTGACAGTGAGAGTGAACCGCTAGTCTATGTTTCAATAATTCGATTTAGCGGATGCCAATTTTGCTTCTTCGACCTACAGATTTGCATAGATAAAAAGATGGTGGTCGCTCCTTTTTTTCCGAGATATATATTCTGTTAAGAACTGACGTGATAACACGTGATGAGAAAAAATATATATATAAAATTATAACAAGGACCATTATTTATTGAGGAGGGCGAAGTTAATTAATATTACTTTTATTTTTTATAATTTGATATTATTATATTTACAAATAATATGATAATATCTAAAATAATTTTATAAATGTCAGCCATCAAAAGACCTGTGGGACCCAATCTCCCGTTGGCCTGTACTGTACTTATCTGAATGTTTGGTAGATGATCAAATTTTCATTTTTGGAAAATAAATAAATCATTCAGATGTCATGTAATTTTAGAAATGCCACGTCACAAAACCTCCTGACAAATATATTCGGTGGCGGAGACAGTTCAAAAATTTAGGTGATGTCAAAATTTTTGCCATATCAAATTATCAAAATATTTATTATAATTACACAAATTTATCAGAAAACAAATTCACTATAAATTCTAGCATAGCCCAAAATTTTAGGTGGTGCCAAAAAATTTGACATATCAAATTATTAAAATATTTATCATAATAAAACAAATTTATAGGAAAAAAATGTACTATTAATTCTAACATAGTTATCTAAATTATGTATTAAATAGTATCACATAACATTGAAAATTTAAATGAACAATCGCCAACAACTATATATCAAAGTAAACAAATTTAGATGGTTTATTGTTACTTTGTATTGGGTATTTGATTTTCTAGTTAGGTGATGCCAAATTATAATTTTTAACTTTGATTAATTATAATTAATTATATATTATATATAATAAGTAAAAAAAATTAAAACAAGCAAGTGCCAAGGCAATGTGACTACGCCACTAAATACAGTGGTCTTCCTTGAGAGAACTTTCGGTCCTAGACGAGCACATGTCTTCTATTAAAAATGTGACACTTGAATTAAAATTTTATTTTCCTCTCTCCTCCATAAACATATCACACTTTCTACCTAGTTTTGATTGGCTAGTCCCACTTAGCGAATGGTGCTATCACAGCACTGTAATAACTTTGGTCTTATTTGGACACGTGTCGTAGCGATGAGAATATTGATGTCAGACACAGTAAATTCTTGTTCTGTTGCCCAATGTGTTGAAAACCAATTGCGTATAATAGTGGGATTTTGCCACTGCAACACATGGCGAATTCGTAGCCTCTGCCACAATGCACTTAATATGTTCCACCAGTATATCTATGTTCCATAGGATAATTTTTTTACAATCCTAGCTAATGTTTCATGATTTCATCCACACATTTTAAAAATGAATTCCAATTGTGAATTCTTAATGGTAATTGTATACTACAATGATAAAAAAAAATATTATGGTCATAAAGATTTTATTTTTTAAGGAGATTTAAGAATGATGTGCATCAATTCTCGTTATAATGTTCTTAAGAAGGAAATCCATAAAAAATTGAGGCTACTTGAAAACCAAATTATTTATTGTTCAATGACTAGACATGACGCTAGTGATGGACAATGACATTGTGTGGAAGTTGCTAATAATGATAATGTGATGTATGTTGTAGTTACATTTCTTATCCAGTTGCGGAAAAGATTCATTAATCTATATATGGAAGTTGACTCTGGTAAACACTATGTATGAGTCATCATTCTCTTTAATTCAAACAACAAACATTTATATAGTCATATTTTGATAATGTAGAGATATATGTATCCTCCCCTCTACCTTTACCTCCTCCTCCACTAATTTTAAGTCAAATGGCAGTCAGTGAGGACAAATATGATCCTACTCGGGGCACGAACAATGATGAAAATGATGTTGACGAAAATCTACTTTCGAATAGTGATAGTGGGATTTTGCCAATGTTAGACACAACAAATTTTTGTTCTGTTGCCCAATGTGTTCAAATCTTATTGCGCATGACAGTGGGATTTTGCCATTGCAACACATGGCGAATTCGTAGCCCTACCACAATACACTCAATATATTCCGCCGGCATATCTCTATTCCATAGGATACTTTTTTAGAATCCTAGTTATTGTTTCATGATTTCATCCACTCATTTTGAAAAATGAATTCCAATTGTGAATTCTCAATGGTAATTGTATACTACAATGAAAAAAAATATTATAGTCCCAAAGATCTCAATTTTTAAGGAGATTTAAGAATGATGTGCATTAGTTCTCAATATAATGTTCTTAAAAAGATAATCTATAAGAAATTAAGGCCACATGACAACCAAATTATTTATCGCTTAATGACTAGACATGACGCTAGTTATGGACAACGACATAGTATGGAAGTTGCTAACAATGATAATGTGATGTATGTTGTAGATACATTTCTTATCCAGTTGTGGAAAAGATTAATTGATCTGTATATGGAAATAGATTATAGTAAGCACTATGTACGAGTCATCATTCTCATCAATTTAGACAATAGACATCAATATAGAGTCATATTTTGATAATGAAGAGAGATATGTCTCCTCCCTTCTACCTTTATCTCCCCTTCCACTAATTTTAAGTCAAATGACAGTCGATGAGGACAAATATGATCCTACTTGGGGCACGAACAATAATGAAAATGATGTTGATGAAAGTCTACTTCCGAATAGTGATCGTGGAATTTTGACGATGTTAGACACAACAAATTATTGTTCTATTGCCCAATGTGTTCAAAACCTATTGCGTATGATAGTAGGATTTTGCCATTGCAACACCTGGAAAATTCGTAGCCCCTACCACAATACACTCAATATATTCCACCAGCATATCTCTATTCCATAAGATATTGTTTTACAATCCTAGCTATTGTTTCATGATTTCATTCTCACATTTTAAAAATGAATCCCAATTGCGAATTCTTAATGGTAATTGTATACTACAATGATAAAAAATATTATGGTTCCAAAGATCTCATTTTTTAAGGAGATTTAAAAATGATGTGCATCAGTTCTCGTTATAATATTCTTAAGAAGATAATCCCAATCATTAATCGCTCACAATCGGTTTGCAAGGCTTTTGCAATTGATAATAAGTATTTATTCTTTTTGTTTGTTTATTTATTTATTTATTTATTTTTGGTTAGGAGGTAGAGGCCACACTACTACTGAATTGATAACTAGAAATAAACATAACAGTAATATATATTTTTATGGGAAAAACTACTCTTATGTTGCATAAGAGTATTTTTATCTCTAATAGACTCATCGAAAACTGTGACACTCTTTTTTTTTTAAATAGTGGGCCCCACCACATGTGAGTCTACAACATGAGAGATCTTATCTCATGCAACATGAGATTAGATGGACCTTATTTTTATTATTGCAGATGCACCTTCGTTCTTAATTTTTTTCATTGTCTTTTGTTGTTATTCTTTTATTTTTTAATTTTAATGGTCCTTTTCGTGAATGTTTTCTTTTTTTAGTGGTCATATTTTAGTATTATTTTTAAAATCACATTGGTCATGGACCAGCAAGTAATGGATAGTTCACTATTTATCCTCTCATTGATAAAATCATTAGACTTGTACTCACCCTTTCAGTTTCTATAGCAACTACTGAAAAAGCTTATCAACTACGAAGATAATCGAAAACAGGCTCCGAAATAGAATGGAAGATCAATTTCTTGATAATTTCTTGATTATTTAATTAAAAGAAATTGTTTTGAGTTTTAGTACAAATTCAATTATAGAAGGGTTCAATGATATGAAAACACATAGAGTAAGAGTTAAGTGAAGTGATCTTAATTTATGTAATAAATTTATTGCAAAAAAAATTAAATTAAATTTGTATTGTATTATAAATACTTTTATTTATAATATAATTTTTTATTTTTACTCCCTGTTGTAAAAATTCTTAGGTTCGTCGTTGCCTAGAAGGAAAATATTGAAAGACCCTCTGGATCACAACCACAATAGATGAAAATAATTATGTATTACCAATTGCATTTGCTATCATGTCGGGTGAGATTTTGGAGGATTAATCATGATTTTTGGCACTAATACATATGCATGTAACACAAAAAATGCATATATCTTAATTCAAATCGGTATCCAGTGGTGGTTCCAAATTTTTTTATTTATATCTGCACATTTAGAGATGAGGGTTTGAAGGTGGTGCCCCCGAATTTTTTAAAAATAAAAGAAAAAATAAAAGAATATAAAAAAATTGAACTTACTACAAAATAAAATACTTTTCGGGTCCTCAACAAAATTCTTAGGAACCAATTTAATCTCTTAGAAAAAAATCGTCTCGTGATCTCTTTGAATTCTAAAATAGACTCATGTTAGTCTTTTTAAAGGACTAATATAGGTTTTTTTTTAAATTTCAGAGGGACTACGATTTCAACTAAACGAATCTATTTTGAAATTTAGAGTGACTGCGAGTCAATTTTTTTTTGTAAGAGATTAAATTATCCCATGTAATTTTTATTGAGATCCTAAATTATACTTTATTTATTATTATTTTTAAAAAAATTTGTGCGTGCACATGTAATCAGTTGCACCAATACAAACCTGCAGATGTCGGCATGTGAGTATCAACTTTGTGGATTTTTTTAAAATGGACCCGGTCCATCATTTATTGGATGGTCCTTTTTTCAAAAAAGAAAAATTCTCTTTCACTTATATCCTTATCTTTCTTTAAAATTCCTTCTCAGTCTTTTTTATTTTTCATTTTTGGACAAGTCCCGCAAGGGCCGAGACCGCAAAAAATGAGCTCCAACTTTGTGGTCAATAATGCAGCTTTTCGTCAGCAGCCTCCTCCGAGTATATTGTGTGTTTTGCACGACAGATTGCAAGTCATGTCAATCACAAATTCAATAATGTAACGTTAAAGAAAGAATCAATGAAGTTTCGGTATGAACACTTTGTGCCCGGAAAAATCACAAGTTAAGATCCTCGTGCATGCAAATAAAAACACAATAGGTTATAAAAGGGGCCTTCAATTATGCATTTTTGCTGTATAAGTTTTGACTTTTTAAATCGGCTATAAGATTATTTCGGGATGCGGAGTGGATCAGGAATGAAAATATTTAAGCTCCTCTTAAGAGTAACATGTGAGGATCAAATCAATATTCTTTTTACTATTCAATTCTTTTACTACCAACTGAACTATCATCTTTTGATATTTTCATATATCCTTGTTGGCATTGAACTCTAGGTATAAGGGAGGTTCCATAACTTAAAGGCCCATTCTGTGATCCTTATTGCCCAACCTGCTGGTGATTACAATTCTCAAACCAGACTAATGACAATTTTAAAGGCCCATTCTCGTACATAACTAACCATATTTCTCCGTTAAAAACAAAAAAGAGAAAGACATTATATAGTCCACGCTTTTACAAACTGGGCTAAAGACCAAACTAAATGAAAAAAAAGGTATAGCCCATTGTAACCACATCTGTTCTAATTATCTCTTCCACAAGCTCGTTTTATATGTTCCGGGAGCAGATGCTTCCTTTCCAAATATAGAGAAGAAAAGAATTGGGAGAAATTTTGAAAAGAAAAAAAAGAATATAACTGAAATAAAAATTTTTCTTTTTGAAAAATAACCACGAAACAGTAATACCCTCCTTGAGCACATTAAAAAAAAAATCCTTCTTCTGTAGTCTCTGTTGTAACCTTTTCAGTCATGCTATACATCATTTATTGAGCTAGGATTTTATCCAGAATCAAGTAGAAACGTAGTATGAGTTACAGCTTGCCATAGGTAGTAGCTTTTTGTTTTTTGCGAATTTTACTCTATACGTAATATTTATAAAAATTAGTTTACACTATTGACTTTGTTTTGATCTTGGAACTAGTAGTAGACTGGCAACTAAATTAACTAATGCCTATTATAAAAGAAAGAGATATACTTCCGAAATTAATATTTATTTACTCTTAAGCATCAGAGATGGTCGGCCTGATATATTTTGCCATCAACATGGAAAAGCTTGAAAATGATTCAATGAATTAAAAATGGGGGCAAGAATTAAAGAATAATTTGCTACCTTTCTAATTGTTTCTCTTAATAATCTTTCTAATTGTTTTAAAAAGACATATTAAATATTTTTTAATTTAATATTTATTATTTTAATAATTACGATGATGTAAAAGGGTCTGTTAAAACATTTTGAAAATTGAGGGGGACGTGTGTGCCTCACTCTATTTTCATTTTTTATGGATAGATATTTTTAATTCTTTTGCATGTGAGACTAAATCCCATATAAAATATTTACTAAAAAAGATAAAATAAATATCATAAAATATTCAAATATTTAAAAAAGAAAGAGGCATCTATTTAGAATAAATTTGCCGAATGAAGTTCACTATCATTTATTAATAAATGATATACAAGCTTTATTTATTTATTTATTCATATATTTTGTGGGGGTTGAAATGATATACAAGGGTGTTGTTATTTAAAATCAATGATTATTTTATGTATGCATATATCTTCTCAAAAGGATGTTGTCGATCTTTATAAAAGTATAACTTAAGGATTGTTGTAGTGATTAAGCAATTTTTTGCCTTGATGACTCATTCATATCACATTGTACTATGTTATTACATACAAGAAAATATTATTCAGAATTTTATTATGTTATTAGAAACTACTACAACAGAATATATAGCTACGGGAACAACTTCATTAGTAAACACATAAATTCATCTCCCAATAGAAATATAACACACAACATAAACTACTCTTTCCCTCGAGTTTTATTTATTCCACATAAACTAGTAAAAAGGGAATTCAACTATTAGAAGAAGACCAGGAATATGGATATTCAAGGCACAATCTTGTAAGCTTTGATCTTATCTATCCAAGCTATGAATGAATTCTTTGTGTTTCTGAATCCCAAGAAGCCATGTTCTTTGGCCTTGTTCATGCTATCTAAAAGGCCCCCACCTCCCAATGTAAGATCTGAAAACCACCACTCAGCAACCTCTTCAAGCTTAGTGGGATGAAGTTGATTCTCCCTCACAATCTCATCCCACACAGGACCCTTGTCCTTCATCATCTCCGACAACCTCAAATCAGAACCCTCCTCAAACCCATAATCCTTAATCCCAAACTGTTCGGCCAACACCTTCCACAGATGCTTCCACTTGAAAATATCTCCATTGCTACAGTTAAAGGCTTCGTTTTTCCCATAAGGATCCACCGAAGCCCAAATGTGCTGCTCCGCAATCAAATCAGCATCGGAAACAGCAGAATAAGATTCCCACGCTTCTTTGGTGCCGGGAAATCTCAAGGGAAGCCCCTCGTGCTTGCAAATTGCGGCGTAAACGCTAAGCGTTCCGATGATGTTCATCAAACTGTAAGGGGAAAACCCGAAGATCGGTAAAGCTCTATTAACGGACCATGTCAAACCCTCCTTTTTTGCAGTCTCTTCGAACAAAATATCCTCCTGTGTGTAAAAGTAATTGGGTGCGTCCAGGCGCGGCAGATCCTCCGTGAACGGTGGCTCGTGGCTCTTGATCTTGCCCAACAGCTCGAAAGGTCCTATGTAGTGCTTTGCACCTGTCTGAAGGCACACGTGGCGGAGGTTGGGAGCGTTTGGGATTAGGGCGCGTAGGACGTTCCTGAACATAGCACCGTTAGCCTCGCAGTTCTCGACCTCCGTGTGTCGATTTGTCCACGACACGTAGAAGATGTGAGTGACATCGGTCAACACGGAGAGCTTGGCTTGTGCGTCGTTGGGATCGGAGATATCGCACTGGATGTATTCGATGGGGTGGTCGGCGTTCCACGCGGGTCGGGAGCGCCGTGCGACGCCGTAGACTTTCCATGGTCCACCGGGCGTGTCGACGAGAGGCAGAATTTCAGCTAGGCTGTTACCGACGATGCCCGTCACGCCGACCACGAGTCCCACGTTCTGGAAGCTTCGCGGAGCTCCATCTTGGTGGAATTTCTTCTGTACATGACAAAAAGAAAATAATTAAAAGAAGAAAGGGAAATTCTTCGATGAGAGAGTGATAATTAAGAATATTGTTGGCTTGCCTTGCGAGCGCCAATAGCTCCAGACCACCACCAGCTTATTTTTTCCATTGAAGTGAGTAGTTGCAACACCTCGCCACAGAGAGAGGATTAGAGGAAGAAGGGCACTGAGCTGAGAGTGACAGTTAACTGAATGCTTCTCCGACCTGCATTTATAGGAATATGAATCTTTCTCTATGGTTTCACGTTCAACGTTGAAGGTCAACTTTAAGGAAAAAGAAATAAATATATTAATCATAATACTCTCGTCATATGAAATTTCAACCTGTTATTCCCACATATATTACTCAAGTAACGCCTTGACTGAAATCCTAGGCCCATGCAAGAATGCACTTTTTTTAATTTATGTGAATAAATAGGGAAAAATATTTTCTTATGTTGTTAGATTTACATTTTTATTTTTATGACATGAGAATATATATCTTTGAAGATTAATAAATCCCTTAAACAAATAAAGGAGAGTTTAATGTCTACAAGTAAAGTGGAATGTTTATTGTGTTAAAAAATATATATGTTTATTTTTTATGTTTATGGGTATCGCAGCCGTCGCCACCTGTTGTTTTTCTTAAATTATAAAGTGGTGCATTTAATTTGGCCACCTTAAAAAATTGTCTGTATTCTAAAGTTTAGGTTTAAAGGTTAAAAATTATTCTGAATCTTCTAATAAAAAAAGGGTTAGTTATGGGGTAGGAGAGGGGTATTAATTATTTTACACCTTACAGATTTGGATTTCTTTAATTATGTGAAAAATTGATTATGTAGTTATATTATTTGATCATAATCACTCATTTAAAAATCATATATTTTTCACTTTCTTATCTCATAATTCATGAATGATTATGATCAAATAACATGACCACATGATCACTTTTTGCGTGATAATATCCAAATCCATATATTACCGTCACCAGCTAGCAGCATGCCATAACTCCCTCATCGTTACACTGGAAAATTTGAAGATGGGATGTCTGTGTCATCTTGAGGGGTCTGAGTTTAACCGTCCATTATTAATTTAGTGTGCTGTGCATTATAAAATTGTTACCTTTTGATTTAGAGTTATCTCTAAAATTAATTAATTTTTCCTTTATTATTAAGAAATATTTTATTTTATTTTTCTATTTATCCTATTTTATGTTGCATATTATTCAAGAGTATAAATTATTATGGCTAAATAGCCATTTTCTATGAAATGAATTTAAGCCCCACAAGTGTCAGACGGGTCGAGGAAGAGCTCGTGACGGGAGACCACCACCAATGGACTAAGCTAGACCACCACACTAAATGGGTTCAACACAATATCTTAACCCAAAACATTAAGACATTATCATGCCAATGTGAGATTCATCACACTTGAATATCTTAACAATCTCTCCCTCAAATGTGAAACTCACCATTAGTATACTCCCTCTCAACCGAGTATCCAGACCCAAAATACTCGACCCGCCACCTAGCCAAAAACATGGTTAGTCCAAGCCCAACTCAGCTCTGATACCACTATCATACGGGTCCAGGGGGAACCCTTGGTGGAGGAATTACTACCAATGGGTTAAGCTAGGCCAATCACACCAAGTGGGTCCGAAATCATATCACAACCCAAAATCTTAAGGCTTTGGATTGATAGGTCCTCCCACTTATATGGACTGTACTTAACCTATTATCAACTAATGTGTGACTCATCATACTTGAATAATCCAACAATCTCCCCCTCAGTGAAACTCATTATTGGTATGCTTCCTCTCAATCGAGTACTCAGACCCAAAGTACTCAACCCCCTCCTAGCCAAACACATGGCTAGTTCAAGCCCAATCATACCAGAGTCAGGCAGGTCCAGGGGAGACCCGTGGCAGGAGATCACCACTAATGGGCTAAGCTATAGCAACTATAGCAAGTGAGTTCGACACCACGTCACAACCCAAAATCTTAAGGTATTGGGTTAATGAGTCCTCCCACTTATATCTACTCTACTTAACCTATTACCCACCAATATAGGATTCATCACACTTGAATATCTCAAAAAGAAAATAACATATTGACATTCTAATTTTTTTAGGAAAATATTTTGTGAAACGATGCTCAAACAAAATATCATAAAATAACGTGATTTTCTGAATTTTTCTTAATAAAAGATCTAAAAATAAATATTTAGTTTATCATGATTAAAAAACTAAGGATGTATAAATTCAGTCACATTCCTTTTTGTTAATTTTTAACATTAATTTTATAAACTTAACAAAAATATAGACTACTACCCAAAAAGGAATGATACCAGGTTAAAAAATTATTTTGACAAATTGGTTATCAACATTGATCTTATAATTTTAACAATTTATTTAAAATTAATAAAATAATATTTTTAAAATTTGTGAATAAAATAGAAAATAACTTTCTATATTCTTTATTCATTGGTTGGGGTATTCAAAGCAGCAGCCAGCATGATTAAGCGCGCGCAGCGCGCGCCCGGGGATGGGGTGGGTTTGAATTCAAAGCAGCAGCCAGCATGTATTGCGTAAGATAAGTTTAAAAATATCGGAGTTAAGTTCCTCGTCCAAATGCAATGTCTAGATAACAAAAAGAAAACCCACCTCACAAACACAATAAACAACAAGTAACTAACAGATTATAGTAACTTAGAAATCTGTGAAACCATATTATATGCAAAGAAAATTCTCATAATCAAACAATAGAGTATATATAAACCTTTAAGGTTCCTCTCAGTTTATCATTAGTGTCCTTTATCAGGAATTTGATCGAGCTCCCAACCACTCAGGGAAAACTGTTAAACAATTCAATATATTCACCAATAATTGGTTTCAATAGCTGTGCTGGCATAATATTTTTCTACCCCAATCACTGAACTGTGATCAAATATCCAGATATTTCAAATAAAATATAGTCACGATGAGATGTGGAAACCAACTTCCAACTCGAGCCAAATCATTTTCCATCCGGGAAACATTACAGTGCTATATATTTGGAATCAACTTTTTTATTTTTATTTTATCTTTAGAAATCAGAACTCTAAATTAGTTGATCGACGTAAATACTTTTGGGCTTCATGATTGATAAAGTTTGTTTGAAAATAGTATTGTTGAGATATAAAACCATTAATATAACCTCATCCAAGAGCTTGAGTTTTTGGGTTGAATTGATTCTTTACATGGTATCAGAACCTTGGTGTACCGGGTTCAATCCGCCCCACATGTAGGTGGGCCTGTGGGCTCTCGTGTGAGGGAGAGTGTTGAGATATATAAAACAATGAATATAGCCTCATCCAACAGCTTAAGTTTTTGGGTTGAATTGATTCTGTACAAGTATGATGTATCTCTTCCATTAATCTTCAATAAAGTATGGTGGGGTTATATGTACTTGCAAAATATTACGATACTCAAGTTTAAATTCATATAAACAGGTTTCAAGTGAGATGGGAAGATAATTACCTTGTATATAAAATTCTGGTGTATATAATTGGGGGATAACGTGCTTTGGGGATCCCCATTATTGTTCTCAACAAGTAGCTAGATATGAAAGCAAATTTTTTTATTAGATTTAGATATATATGAGTGGCTGAATTTGGATTCTTTCATATGAAAAAGTGGTCATGTGGTCATGTTATTTGATCACAACCACTCATTTAAAAATCATACACTTTTCTCTCTCTTATATCATCATCAACGAATTGTTGTGATCAAATAACATGATCACATGATTATTTTTTTACATGAGAGGATATAAATGCATGAGTGGCTTGAGATAGCCTTTAGAAAAGTTGTAGATATTTAACATAAGGCAAATTTTCTTAAGCACAAAAAGAGGCATGTAGTTAGAATAATTGTTGAAATTGTGTTCCCCATGTTTTATTAAGAAATGGCATACAAGAATTTTTTTGGGTTTGAAATGATATATAAGGATGTTGTGATTTGAATTCTGCGATATATTTTTATGTTTTCTTTACAAATATACACATATAAGTATGACTTATGGATTTGTTATAGTTTTTTAGGAATTTGTCTGTCTTGAAGACTTATTCATATCTATCATTGTTATTAAACACAAGGAACTAATATTTGAATTCCTCTAATAAAAAATGTCATTTAAAATCTTATAATCTTATAATCTCATGTTCTCATTTACTCTTTCCCTACATGTTTCCTAATAATTTCAACATTTACACATTCAACAAACGTCATTTCTGAATCTTACATTCCAGCAAAAATTATTTTAACCTAGAACAAAATGCAAATGATGTACTACATTATTTATATAGTATGATTTTTAAAACACATTAACAGTAATCTTTAACTTTTATCAATGGAAAAACTTCAATCCATGCATGTGAAACATTTGTACATTTCACATTAATGGACACAACTTAAAATAAGTACAGTCTTGGGCTGCATATATTGCAATAGTTGAAAGTGATTATTTTTATTACCCCCCCCCCCCCACCCACACCCAAAAAAAAAAAAAGCAATTATGTATCAAATGTCACTTGATAATTTGGTTGAAAAGTTTAGAGTTAGCAAACTAACAAGCATTTTTACCTATGTTAGACAAAAATAAAATGTACGTAGCTCAAAGTCATTGCAAATTCACAATATCCGTCTGGTTCTTGGTGTCTACGAAGTTCAAAGTTCAAACCCCATTTTCACCAAGTTTTGCAGCTCATGTTAAAAACTTACCATAAATGTGAATGATTTAGTTTGTGCGGTGGTACTATTGTTGGCTACCTTTAATCTCAGCAATAAGTAACAACATATAGTATTATATTAAAAATTAATGGAGATGTGGTCCTCTCCATTTCCTAGCGTGCAGCTGGGTTATATCAGTCACGCCATTCTTTTATAACTCCATATATTCCATCACGTAACATCCATTTGCCATTTTCAATATGTAAAATAGATTTTAAGAGCCCCTATTTGTTCGAGTTCTCACCTGCCACTGACAAAGCACAGAAACAAAGTATATATATATATATATATCTAACCTAGTGGCCAAAATCTGGGATGTGGCACATGATTCTCTTTCTCCGCATGTAACAAGCCAATTTAAATTTACTTACACTGGTCGAGCTACAACTGCTTTCTTTAATCTCCTTCTTGCCCTTTCCATCTTTCTCCTACCAGCTTCTTTTGCGTGAAAAGGTTCTTCAATGATGGTAGATAGACCTGAAAAAAGTTAACAGCAAAAGTGATTCAAATAACGCTGTAAAGTTTAAAGAAAACAGAGAAAAGCCATTCAAAATTCAAACGAGCTACAATACAATGGTTTTTTTTAAGTTTCAAGTTTAACTATATATGTTGTAGTTAATCTGCTCAACGATATTATATGCAATAAAACCTGTAGGGCAAGGACATAATTACCAGGCACGAGACTTGTCTTCTCCATCATCATCAATTGCTCTTCATAGTTAATTCCCTCATTCATATTAGATTCTTTTGTATTTTCCACAACTAGATTCTTATTTATTACCTTTGAGCGAGCAGTGGCGAAGAGCCATGTGGCATCCATGTGTTTGCTGATCATACGCGCGGCGTGGTATGGAATCTTGACGCGCTTGGTCTGATCTGACTTGATGCAACCATTCATGAACATTATGCAGTCCATTAAGCTCTCTTTGGCCATTCCTCTCATGTTATAAGCCTGTGACCTTCTCCAAAGGCTTTTGATGTGTGTGTTTGCTGGGTTGGAGAGGCAAAGAGCACGGGTTGAGTCACTGATGGCTGAATCTGGGTTTTTAAGCAGAAGATGACATTGGGATTTATTACTATAAAGCACCATTCTTTCTTTTCTAAACCTCAAGGGGCAAACTTCCATTGCTTCACAATATTTCAATAAAGCTCCTTCTACCTTTCCCAACCTGAACATGTGATTCGCTTGTTGCTTTATCAAACTAACCAAAACCCTTGTTTCCTCTAATTTTTCTTTGGACATTAGTTTCTCCTCGTCCAACTTCAAATCTAGCACTTCTTGCAATGCCGTTTCAACTTTTTGTCTGTTGATTTTCAATTTGCTATGATTATGTTCTAGAAGGAGAACCTTTGTGATGGTCTCACCAACATTTGATTTATCTCCAAGGCTTTGAAGTTCAATCAAATCAACTAGGTATGAAGTGGCAATATCAATAACTTTGTACCTCGTATCTGGGTCCTTTAGAAGCAGTACAAGACAATCGATACCCATATATTGCCAATCATCTGAAGATCTTGAGAGGTTACCGAGAGACTTTATAACTTTGGGGGACTCAGCAATGCTTCTCCTTCCAAGTTTACTATAACATAGGATTCTAATCAATCCAACCCCAGCAGGTGAAGTGTGATTCACCAATCCACCCCACATATCGCACAGGTCATTCAAAAACACCATATTACAGATGAGATTCAGAGACCTGTTTTTGCAAGCAAAGCAATTCAGCAGATGAAGAGACCAGCACTGAAGTTGGCTAGCCCATTCCTCTGCCTTGCGATTCTCCATCTCCAAATCTCCAACGCCTCTAGTCAACAAGTTCCTGTGGTGCTCCATTCTTTTGTTCACATCTTTCACACCTACAAAGTCAACATAGACCACTTCTAAGCAAGTGGAAGCCAAGTTCAAGGCCATTTTCACCACCTCTTGTTCGTATTGTGCTACTGATTCGAAGGTACTCTCATAACTGGCCAAGTGACCAAGTGCTCGAACAGCAACTCTTTGCTCAACCCAACTTATCTTACCACTCAGCAGCTCCAATAATGGTGGTATAACACCTGATTGCACAGCTATTTGAGCAAACTCTTCCTTATTCATGGTGTAAGAGCCAATAATATGAGCAGCATAATAGGGTATGTATATATTTTGATTTGTAAGAAGCCAGTTCTTGTCTTTTATACCTTTGTAGATGAGATTTGACATGCACTTGAATATGCCAAGGGAAGGGAACTCTGGGTCATTGGGTTGGGTCATAGCAATACGCCATAATCCACTCAGCACCAAGACATGTTCTTGATTCTCTCCTATAAGCATCGCTTTGAAGCAGCTAGCTATTTTAGCCCTTCTGGGAGATGCATCTGTTTCTCTTATGGTGCAAAAGAAACAATTCGGGTTGCTGCAAATCTGATCCTGAGACTCTTGGGTCATATCTTCGCTGGTGTTATAAGGAGTTTTGTGGATGGGGATTACTCTTTTTTTCTTCATTAATAGGGAATCCATGGTTGCCTTGGCTGACAAATATTGAATTGTTTGGGGATTTCTTAGACCAGCAAGCTTAGGATCGTTGCTTTATATTTGAGTTTGAAAAGTTAGTGGAAAAAACGAATGATATCGTTACACCGAGAGGCGCATAAATGGCAGACTTTCATTATCCAATAAAGCATTTTCTATCTAAGAAATATTTGACATGTCATAATTACAAACATTCTTCACATAGCAATTGTCAATCTGTCATTTTGTTTTCCACGAGAAATAATTAATTTGTTGCATAGTGTTAGGAGAGGTGTTGCGCACTCTCACTCTTTGAGTTAGCTTTTGGTGTGATGATCCCATGAGTCCCTATCATTTGGTGCTCATTGAGAGTCAGACTTCGAAAAGGGCTACTGATGGGTGGATGAAGCCGCCTAAAGGAGGAAAGACCGGTCAGAGTAAAAGTCACCGTGAACGTCGATCTTAAAAGAGGTGGCAATATTAGGAGTCTCACATTGATTCTGTAGGCAACTAATGTGAGATTTATAAGACTTTAGGCACTCCCACTCTTTGAGCTAGCTTTTGGGGTAGTGATCCCATGATTCCTATCATTTGGTGCTCTCATTAAGAGTAAGACTGCGGAAAGAGCTACCTGATAAGCGGGTGAAGCCCCTCAAAGGGGAAGGATTACCATCGGGTCAAAGTGAAAGCCACCTCATCCTGTGAACTAGTTTTTCGCCATGGGTCCCTATCAGATAGTTTTTATCTTACGTATTTTTTTCTAGAATTTTTTCAGCATAAAATATTATTTGATATTTTTCATAAATGACAAGCTAATCCAATACTTCGTATGCCAATCAAAGCCTCGAGCACGTTCGTGGTTACAAACTAATTGTAAGTTACAATTACACTATAAACCTGGTACAACAGGGTCACACGAGAGATGAGGAGAGAGATATAGTTTACACTGAACTTGGACAATTGTACAAATCTCTATGGCGCTCGAGACTTCTAAAGTTGTGTCTCAAGCTTCTCTTACATTAAGTGCTTCTCGCATTATAAGCGAGTGCGAGTGGTCCTCCTCAGTCCTCTCCCTCTTCTATGTTTCTTGTTGGAAGTTAAATTTTAAGTTAAAATACTTGTTCATGAAAAGCTTCTTTACCTTGAGATTTTTTATCTAACTTTTGTACATCGATCCTTTCTCGAACAAGAGTTTTTTGTCCTTATGTGACAAATTAAATAGATCACGAAAGCTCAAACTTTGATAATATTTTTCAGAGTGTAGATTCATGTTGCAACAAAACTTTGAAATTTTCTATGCAAATTTATCATCAAGCTGTCTGGTATCTAGTCAATTAAGTTCATTCGTCAAAAGCTCTAATGCTCTAGTCCTAGGCCTATAAAGCCTTAGTTTAAGCAAAAAAGTGTACAAAGTCTAGTTAAACTGAAAACATATTGTGGGATTTCACCTACCTTTAGCCCACAATTCTCCCTGATTTCTCCAGTCAGATATTTTAACAGGCTGAGATGTAATGTGTGAAGAGAAATGAGCACGTTAATGAAGTTGCTAAGCAAAGACGAGGGACCACATCTTCAAATGGAAAAACAATCCCCTTCAAATCAGTAGCAGAATGTGGTCCCATCACATTGCTAAACTTGTTCCTTCAAATAAAAATATACACCATAACTCTTAAGAAAGCATAATATGGATTAAAAACAGAATAAAGTACAGATGGTGGTGGTCTCAAGAATATGCGGCTGCCATGGTGGAAAGCATAAAAAGGAGGTTTCTTAGATTTTATCTTTTTCTTAAGAAGATTATTTCAGACATGCTTCAAAGATTCATTTAACTGTGCCAAAATGATTAACGCTGGGATTTTAATAATTATTTGCTCGTACCTTTGACATGGAAAAATAACAATAACAGCTTCTTGATCATGATGGCAAAGACTAGATTTGTAATCTGGACACACCAAACTATGCGGGAATTGAGCATGTTTTGCTTGGATAGAATTAGAGTTTCAAAGTTGTTAAAATCCAAAAGGACCCTTGTCATCTATAGAATCTTAACTTGTTTGTTCATCAGGGTGATGGAAAGGCTTAACGGCTAAAAGTGTATATATTTGGATGCAAGTGTTTTTTCTTTTCTTTTTTGTTGGGGTGATGTGTATCATCAAAAATCAAATAGAGCTAAGCCCGAAACTCTTTGAAAAAAGACAGATGGTTCATAGAGCAATGATCAAACGGCATAGTTCAAATAACTTATATTACTTAATTACCACCAAAGATGATGAGAAAAATCTGAGATAGTTTTAGTTGTTGAGATTCGACTTTTTCTTCCCGGGATGAAGGATCCACATTGAGAAAGGCAGATGTATAGAGTTAACATCCGTTTTCCATTAAATATATATAGGGAAATAATACTTTCATGCTAAATGAGAGTAACATTTTTTTCTACACAAACTCGTTTTCCGTGCCAATTAATTTTTCTTTTCTTTTTTAATATAAAAGATGGGACCCACATTTAACTTCTCTCTACTTTTTTTCTCTCCTACTATCCTACAACATGAGAAAACTTGAACCCATATATATAATATACATCTTTTTTCTTTTTCTTTTTGATAAATATATACAGATCATATACATCTTTCTAAATGTAAAGGTCTATTAACGAAATATGTGGAGGAAGATCCTAAGCGCAAATACTATAATCATGCAACATAATATCGCATTCAAATTAATATTTCAAATTTTATACATTCAGCCTATGAAGCACCAACACTTCAAAAACCTTGATGTAAGAACCTGTACCGTTAATTAAGGAAATTAATCAGTTCATTATGAGTTTAATGAGATAATTCCATAATTTCTCTTATGCATGCTGAGTTACATGCTTTGATATAATGAAATGCTTTTGAGCTGATATGTGCACTGGCTTTATGATATGCATGTGGTGTTCCACCTATACGGTAAGCCTGAGTATGTGGTACATACAAGATGGTGAGACTGGGGTGAGGTGCAAACGATGTTCCTTGTACTATTATGTGTGGGTAATAGACGTATTCCTACATTCTCTGGCCAGTAGATTATAATATTGACACACATGACATGATATTCTGTTGCATTGCACTATTTTGGAAATGATATTGTTGAACTGTTTTGGAACTTATATTGCACATGTAAGTGAGCTTGGGGTGGAAGATCCTTGAGGACCCCTAGTCTTACTGAGATTTCTTGTTTAGAGATCTCACCCCACGTTTGGGGACACTTATTTCAGGTTCAGGTAGTATGGGGGCTGATGCCTCTAGCGGCAGGAGGCCAGAACTTAGCTGATGAGTTTGCTGTTTATTTTGCTGATATGTTGGATGCGGGATATATCTGCTGATGCTTATGTTTTTAGCTTGCTTTTAGTATACTGTTGATGTTGAGACTGATGTTGGGCTTTGTTGCCTTTTTGGGTGAGCATGGGGTTTGTCCATGCCACTTGGCTGTTAGCACTATTATGTTGAGTTGTATAATCTGATAGTTGTCTGGCCTACGTGTTGTAGTTCCGTGACTAGAGACATACTTATGTTTTTAATGTAATGAGGTATTTCAGTTAGCTGTGTTTTGCAATTTACATACAGGCGATGTTTTATTAATTGATTAATAAGCAAATTGGTAATGATAATGACATCATAATTGAAAAGAAAAAGATATTCTGCACTTTTATTTAAGCGCAGCTTAATACGATGATATGATAACATTACCGGATATATACGGGGTGTTACACTTGACGTATCGTGTCCGACACTTCCCGGCACTCTCGGACACTCCCCGACACTCCAACACGCGTTATTGAAATTCAAAAAACGATTCAAAGGTTAAATTGCGTTGAATTTTTAGTTCCAACTGTTAGATTCGTTAGATTACGATTACCATTTTATTGAGTGTAATATAAATATTTAGAATATTTTATGATTTTTGCAAAATTTATGAATATTATAAGTTTAGATATTTTTTTTTGTTAAATTATTGAATATTAAAGATAATATATACTACATAAATTAAATATATTATTTAATATCAAAACGTATCCTAACGTGTCAAAATTTAATATTTTTTAGAATTAACGTATCGGAGTGTCGTGTCGTAGCGTGTATCGTATCCCGAGTCAATGTCGATGTCGATGCTACATAGCATTCAACAACCAATGGTTGAAGCGGGCACAAGAGGCAGAATAATCATAATGTCAATTTGGCGTGAGAAAGTCATACATGTCCTCCAAGGGAGAGAAATGGCCAAGGAGTTTTATGTCGAAAAAATATAGCTTTCTTTTCCGATTAATTTTTTTTTCTATTAATGATTATATTTAAGTAATTAACAATGTTACCACCTAGTAATAAATTGTTAATATATATAATATCCTCAAAATCAGAAATCACTTATTGAACTAAAAACCTAACACAGTTGGTAAATAGCTTGGGTTTCTTAAGCATGTTGACAGGGGTTCGATCCCTGACCGTGTATATGAAAAAGGCTTTGTTGGGAGAGGTTTACTCATTTAATGTGATCTCCCGCCTCGAAAGGATTAATCTTCGGCTATCGACCGGAGGATACCTTAAAAAACCAAAAAAAGAAAAGAAATCACTGATTCAAGAAAAACTGAAGCTTCCGTTTAATAATATAAACTAGCATAAATAAGATATGGAATTTGTTTTTCTCATGTTGCATGAGAAAATAAACTCTTCTTACACACACCATAAAAAGGTGTGCAACTTATTTTTTTTGTTTTTTGTTTTTTTAAATAGGTGAGTCTCACACTTAATGTATCTATGACATCAGATTGAAATTCTCCTACAACATAAAATTTATTTTTCCCATAAAATATTCAGGTAAAACGTACCTTCCGTTTACTCTAGCTTCTTAGTTCACAATTCACAATTAAAAACAGCATAAAACATATCTAATAGTCGTTCCATCCTATATAATTTGCAACAAGATTGTAAGAATTTTTCTTAGGAGTACAATCAGCAACATCAATAATAGTTCCTTGAAACCATGCAAGATTGTTGGTGTGGTGAAATTGTGTGAGTGAGTTGGAAACCATGGGAGAATTTGTAAGAGGTTATGAAACCAATAGCCACCGACACCGAAAGAAAGGAGATGGCGCTGTTTTAGATGAAAAGTAGGAGTGAAAAATAAAAATAAAAATAAAAATAAAAATATTAAATATTAAATATTAAATTTAATTGACAGCTGGAAAGATGACATAATTATTTATTCATATGATATAAAATCATAAAATGAGTGGCATTAGCACTGCCACTGAGTGCCCGGTACTGTATATAAGACCGAAGGGCGTTTGGTACGCGGGATTTTGAGGGATTCCCGGGAAATTGAATTTTTCTAAATTTTAAATTTTCAGATATTATCGTAAACTGAATGCAAAAATCATATTTTTGAAAATCGAGATTCCCGGACAAATAAAAATTTCTCTTGTACCAAACGCCCCCAAGGCTTTAATTCCGAATAGTCTGTATTATAGGGTATTTATTTGGACCGAAACTATCCATTCAGGTCATCTGCTGCAGGCTGGGCCAAATGTGAGTCAGCCCACAATAAGACGAATATAATTCATGCTAACTCAGCTCCGTATCTAATAGAAAGTACATACTTACGCTTTAGCTGACATTATAAGAATTAAAAAAACAAAAAATTTCCACAGGCAATAAAAAATCACCGCAAACCAAAGGGCAGTTTTATTTCTATTCTTAAAAATAATCTTTTTGTTTTAAAAATAAAAAATTATTTGAAAATAAAAAATTAAAATCACAATGACATATAATTAAATAGGTGACTAATTTTTTTTTTATTCTTATGTCTTGTCATGCACTTTATTTATTTCTCGTTAACCTCTCCTTCGACTTTACTCTATGTTAAACTCGATATTTTGGGCTTTCTGAAAAGGTATCATATTAACAAATTGGTTAAGTATAGTCCGAACCTGCAGAGTAATTGCTTCAACCGGATTCTTGAAAATAAAGTAAAAAAATCACTTTAAACTAAATTGGGCTTGATCCACTTACCCAATGATTCTAATAATTTACTATGTTATAGATCTTTAAGTTAGTTTCACGTAAGTTCAAACCGCACTCGATTTGAAGCACACTAGCTCAAGTTATAAATTTTTTTACGAAAAGATGTTGAAACCAGCAGTGGGCTGACGGTGCCAACTTGGTGCCAGAAGCACCGTGCCATTGATCCGCTTCTATTATACGGCGCTAGGAGTGCCAGTTTGGGGCTAGAATTGTCAAGAACCTTCAAGCCATTGTTTTCTGGCGCTAAGCCACTAATAGCGCCACTACGACGCCAGGAGCACCATAAACAGGGACAAGACACTAAATTTTAATGTTCAAACTCCCAAATTGAGCTTAACCACTTCTCAATTGGAAAACTCCAATACTTAACGTAATAAACACATTTCATACCTGATTTATGCATGGTCCAATATCCATTACTCCTACTCAAGAATCTAAAGCTTAATCAAATGGTTAATTAATACAATCTATACAACTCTTAGCCATTTCAAGGCTCTCATTCAATGGTTCATCCATGAAATTCATAATTAAGTTGAAATTCTTCGTCATTGTCATTTTTTGGATTCATTAGTCTCGTTAGAGATATATAAACCATTAAAGAGGCTTTCACTTATCAACTTAAATTTTTAGGTTAAATTGGTTCTTTACATGTTATCAAAACTTCGGTATCTCGGATTCGATCATTGCCCGCCCTCATTTTCTTTGGGAAATTTCTTTAACAAGTCTTGATACATATTAATTATACGACTCTAATAACAATTTTATTTCATAATTAACAATATTCGCATGTTTGATATTTTATATCAGATAAACATCTTATGTGCCAAATTTGTATTAAGAGCGTCACACAACTAAAAGACATGTATTTATATGTGAAAATATTTTTAAATTTTATTATGCATTGTTATGCATACCAATTTCATCGTTAAAATTGATCAAGCACATTTATTTTTTTGACCTTTTAACTTTAAACAATATGCAATTCTTCAATAAATTATCTTGGCCATAAATATGGCGACTACATGAGAACTTGGAAGGGCCAAGATTCTTGGTGGGGTTACTCGATCCGAAGCTAAAACAACTCAAAGCATGCTATAAACATGGCAGAATGGCAATATCAATAACCAATGGAATCTGTAAATATATACTTTTCTTTATATAATTAGATGATAATCTCCTAGCGATGGAGATTTATTGGATATAATTCATACTTCGCATTCAGATGAAGATTCTTGTTGGCGAAACCCAGAAAAAAATCAACAGAGTCTCAAGTTTATTATATTTTATTTCTCTTTTCTAATAGTTTGGGCTTTGACTCATAAATGGTTACTATTGTTTAAAGTTTCTAAGCCTATTTATATTCTCATTATACGCTTAGTGCTTTGTAATAAGTAGGGGTGGTAAATGAAGGAGGAGCCTTTGACCCGGCTAGTGAAGGCTGAGCTTACATGTCTAAAATTAGTTGTTGAAACCAGGCTTGGATTTGTATAAAAGCTCGTTTAATAAAAAGACTTCAAGCTCCAATTCAAAAGCCCGGCCTTAGAGTCTTTTAGGTTGGCCTATTATATTAACTTTTATTTTTATTTTATATTTTTTATACTACTCATAATAGCCCTCTATCCTCAACCCATTTCACCCTATTTTATTGGTGAAACAGACTTTTTGAATGATTTTGTTTATATTATGTTGTTTGGATATACATTAAATTTATGATTCTTTGTGGAATTATTAATGTTCTTGATCGTATATTTTATTTGGATAAATTTTTGTTGTTTTATTTTTTTTAACAGGCAAAATTAGGCTCTTTTTTTTGGTAAACAAGTCATGCCACATGCTGATAATTATATTCATAGCATGTCACAGACTAGGTCAGACTGACACATTTAAACAGAAGCTTAATCTTTTAAGATCAAAGCCTAACTTGATCCGTTAACACCTCTAATAATGAGTACCATGAAGAAAATATGGTGAAATATTGATCGACATAGTTCATATTAAGTGAACCAAGATAAATTTGTGTCACCTTTCTTTCTTGCCTTATCTCCATTCTGTTTTACAATCATATGTGTGTGATTGTTCAGTCCCAATAAGATTTGCATGATCAAATGAGCTGCTTTGCCTATTTCTCTCTCCCACCATCTTCATTGTTGGTTGAGATAAATAAAATAGGTATGTAATCTAATATTAAAAAATAAAATAAGTGAAATAGGTTCAAAAAAGATATTATAATACATATAATATCTTATATCATGATTTCAAACACATACCTTGACTCACAACACAAATGTCAATGTGAGTTCATGTTTAAGAAACAAATTTTTTAGACAATAATTACTAAAAAAACTTAATTGAAATAATTTGTAACTTTAAAATAAGATAATCTAAATACATTTTAAAGGCTAGAGATTTATAAAGCCAAAAGGAACAACGCGGCTTTGGCACAATCTACCAATGCCAAAATTACTGGCCAGCTGTCTCTAGCTTGCAATATTGATGATAAGTAATTAAAAGGAACTGAGGAGCAATAAATTCACACTAACATCCTCCGAATCTTTCACCTACCCTTCGTTTGCTACTATAAATAACCTCCTTATCTGGCTCACACTTCCACAACACAACCTGCTTGAGAGTTCTTAGTATTTCCAGTGATCAGTGCCTCTCTACATCTAATTTATCTCCATTCCCTTCTTCACAATCACTATTTCTTCTTAATTAGCATATACTCCTGATCCTGTTCTTTATTCTAGTCTGTGAAAGTAAGATGAAGCTCGTGTTTGCAAATGTGCTACTTGTGTGCCTTGTCCTCAGCACCTCTTTGTTGGAAGTCTCAATGGCTGGCTCTGGTAGTTTTCCTATCTCGCTCGCTAGCTATCACTGCATATATTTTGTTTCAATTAATAGTACTGTATATATATATATACATATATATTCGATCGATATGCTTCTTGATTTGTTATATATATATATATACTAACTGATGAAATTCCCTGTGGGGGATGGATTTAGCTTTCTGTGACTCCAAGTGTGCACAGAGGTGCTCCAAAGCGGGTTTTCAGGACAGATGCTTGAGGTTCTGCGGGATCTGCTGCGAAAAGTGCAAGTGCGTTCCTTCTGGGACTTACGGGAACAAGGACGAGTGTCCTTGCTACAGGGACTTGAAGAACTCCAAAGGCAGGAGCAAATGCCCTTAATTAATTCATACATTCCTATATATCCTATCTATCTGTGCATCACACTCTAAATCTTCTATTCCACAAAACTGGCATGTATATCTCCAGGCTTATGAGATATTAATCCGCCATGGATCCTAATTCCTAGCTAGCTGATTAAGTTTTCACAGCAGTTTAGATTACTATTTATGAAGTCCTTTATCATGTTTTATGTATACATATATAGAAATTTGATCACGGGAATTGAATGTAGGTGTGAAGCGAAGGGGAATAATTCGGCGTTATCTTTAAGCTTTATATGGAGAATGTCTTAATTATGCCTGTGATAAATAAAGATCCTTAATTATGGCGGGACCCATTTATACGGACAAAGTGATAAATTAATTTTAAATTACCTTTCTATCTGCTGTTAAAAGGCATCCCTTAATAAAGATCCCTTCTCGTGACCAAAGTGGATTCAGATGGTGATTTTAATAAGGAATATATAACCTCATGATGAGAAGAATATAACAGCAGATACGTATAAATAAATGAATCATAAAATTAATTTTAATTTCTTAATTTTGTTTAAAAAAATATATGTGATAAATTTTTAAGTTTTAGCTTTAAATTCTTTCAAGTTAATAATGCGTGTTTTTCAATATTAACCTTTTTTTTTCTCTTTTAACTTATTATATCTAATTAATTACACATATGATAATTATAATTTAAATATTAATTAAAGTAAAAAATATTCATATAACTTTATGTAAAAATATTAACATGATAATAATTGTAGGTTTAAATTAATTAGAGGTGATAATTTGGGTTAACTTTACATAAATACATTCAATACGAATATGGCACGAATTTAAAAATTAGTCAAAACTTTTAATATGAACACCCCACTTATTTTGTGGTTGACATGACGTGAATAACTCATCAACCTTAAAATGTTGTTGGGAAGAGAATCATATAAGTGGAAGAGAACTCAATGACTTAAGAGCCTAATTATGATGTTGAGTTCATAGCTTAGCCCTTATGACGATAAATCTCCTCCTACCATGGGCTCCCCCCATGACCCAACATTGGTATCAGATAAAATGATTGATGAGCCTACGTGCTCTGAGTATTTGGGGATGGTAGTAGTTAGTGTTCGGGTTTGTCAGCCTTCCAAACTCATGATGAGTGGAGCTAAGCCTTGATGTAACCCATAAATACTTGAAGCAGCCTCCACTTGAGGGGGAGCGGATCCGGGTCTAGGACTCACACTTAGGGGGAGAATGTTGGGATTAGAATCCAAGTGAGTAATGAAATCTCACATTGGCTAGAAATTTGCTAAGTGAGGACAATACAAGTGAAATGACCCATGAACCAATGCCTCATGGTTTTGAATTGAGATATGATATCGAAGCCCATTAATTATATTGTTGAGTTCATATATTAGCCCTTATGATGGTAGATCTCCTCCTACAATGGGCTCCCCCGTGACCCAACAAGTGTGTGACTTATTATGAGGGTTAACACGACGGGATATAAATAATTTATCAATCTCAAAGTGTATCGTTTATTATGCGAGTTTGTGTTGAAATTCTTATACAACAGTTGGTACTACACGACATGAATAATCTGTAAAAAGATTAATACAAGTCAATTTTGTATTTGCTATTTGACACACGATACGATATAATTTTTTTGAAAACATATCTACCCAAACACAAATTTTCATATGTGTTCATATAATGTCAACGGGTTGAAAATTGTCACCTCTAAAATTGATAATATAAAAATATTTGGATAGTATTTCAATACAATGCATGCACAGTGGTAATAGTGTATTAGTGTGTAATATGTTAGGGCCACGCTGAGCGACGTGCAAACGGTGAGTGGAGTCTAGACTGAGACGGGGTTGCGGAAAAGTTTTTTTTTATTATAATATATTGCTTGTTATAAATATTTTATATGACATTACCCATGGACATTTCTTTGGTTGTTTTCTGGTCAAGTTTTCAGGCAGGGAAGAGTTTTTGGACACTTCAATTAATATTCCGCTACTGCGCCGGTACCAACAACAGGTCTTTATTTTAAGTTTGAGAAGAGATCATTTATCTTATGCATAAGGACTTCCTTTCTTTACCAGGCAGAGCATATGAATTATTTTTTTAAATCAGAGCATGTCTTGAAGCACTAAATCCCACAAAAAAAATTTAGGTGACAATTGTCTAATTTTTGCGAAGGCACATCCTTGGGTGATTATGAAACAGTTTTGAATATCCTTGAACTACATGGCGATGCTCCAGGTCAAAAAATCAATTTTAAACAATTTTCAGCCTTGTAGTATTCAAGCGATAGCATTTTCGGAAAAGTACTTGGGCTTACCCTTGAAGGTTGGAAGATCAAATAATTACACCTTTCAATCCTTAAAAGACAGGGTGTTGAAGGAATCAGCCGGGAAGAAAAGCTCCCTTCTAAGGGAGGAAAATACGTGTACCACAAAATTCCAAGACCACACCAATAGAATGTGAACTCATCAAGAGCTTCCGATCTAATTCGCCAGTATTCGTGAGGTGAAACCCAAAGTGTCGAGTCAAGGGGGGTATATAAACTTTAATGCGAAGATAAAATGTCATCAAAAGTTATGCAACAAAAGAACATATGGAACAAGAGCCGCTTAAAATATATCCTCATGATAAGTTTATTGGACCCATAGTACAAATAATAATAAACAGTAAGTTAGAGTCACAAGAATAGACATGTAGATAATCACAGTTTGTATCACCAGCTTTAGCTCCCTTATCGAGGATCATGTATGTGTAGTTAATACAGCTGAGGATTGTCCTCTCTAGTAAAATCTAAATTGTTCCCGTAGCAAGTACTTCCATCCTATCCAAGAGACAAAAAATCGAAGGAAACTAATACCAGCCACACACAAACTAACACTACCAAAGGCATCAATATTGTTATGAGAGTAATGGGAATACGGAAAAAGGGAAACTAGATACAGGTATTAAAAATCTTTTGTGCAACATAGAAATGCATGCTTACATAGGCCGTATTTTCTCCCTGTCAAACCTAGCAAGCAACTTCTTGCCAAAGCGGTTGCTGCGCATCATTGGAGCATTTAATTGGACCAGCTTCAGCAGGGCATTCCTAATGGCACCCTGTTTTTAAGAAATAGATAGAAAAACCAAGTTATCACACGATGACTGTAACCGAGGCTTCTAGAGCCACTCCAAATATCAAAAGGAGGAAGACAGCTAATAAAATATTGGTTAGTTACCAGAATTATTTACATATGATACTCGGCATATTCCAAGAGAAACCACTTGATACAGAATAGTTTCAACAAAGCAATCGTCAACGAGAGAAAAGGAAAAAATCAGGTTGCTTAGTATATTTATTTTGCCAAAAAAAAAATTCCACAAGTTAAGAGAGTCAAACCATTGCAATTCAACCTTTAGTAAGTAACCAAGACTCCAACTTCCTAGACTACACTGACTACGAAAAATTAGAAATGTAAAGTAATGCACAAACATTAAGATTAAAAAAACTTAAAAGTGTTAAACTAACATTGGATACCAACAGTGCAGATTTGATCACATAGTTTCCAAATGGATCCACGAGAAGCATTGCAACGTTTGGATTGCAGAGCAACTCCAAAATAATACGTTTTGAATGTTGTTCTCCGGAATATAAAAAGAATCTCTCCACTACATTACTCCCAAATTTATTGCAGGCAAGAGATAAAAATTGTCCCTCAAGCTGTATCAGTAGACATTCTGTAACCCCTAGTATTTGCAGAGACAATAAATGTTGCAAAACATAGTTGCTGCCAGATGAAAAAACAAAATACAGAAGATAAAGTAATTATAATTAACTACATTGGATAGAAAGGAAAAGAATTGACACTTGGTGAAAACAAACCCGTAATCGTTATGTGCTAGGAATGAAGCATCTACTATGATATTTGCAATCATCTTATTTTTGGTTTCTCCCTGAGCAAGGTTAATACATTGCTGCAGCACACAACAACCAGTCTTATCTATTGCCATCCCAAAACAGTCGTTTGCCACCACATTTAGAAGATCCTGTGATGAAAGTCTACTTTCAGAATTTCCCAAACAAGACTAAAACAAAATCTTTATTCATTTACGTTAAAAACAAAACTATAGCCGAAGAAAGGAAAACATTAAAAAAAATTGACAAAATAAAAGTAGGGTGAAGCTAAGTCTGTTAAACAGTAATGTATGGTATCTCAACAATAGACTTAATTAAGACCTATCCAGGGGAAAATAAACTTAATTAAGAATTAGATATTATAATTATTTTCATGACAGCAAATCAAGAAAATACTTGGACATGAAGTAGAAAAATCTGTATTTCCAAATGGAAAAAGCTCCAGTTTGAACTCACCTTACCATGAATCATTCTTAAAATAATTTTAAATCTCTGATTCCTCAACTAACTAGCCTTAGCATCAAACACAATTTGAACGCGCATTTTCAAAGTTGCTTAGTTGTAAAACGTTGGAATGGAAATGAGTTGAGCTTGGATTGTCTCGGTAGTTGACTAGTATTGAACGTGTGATCTCAAACAAAATACATTACAAAATCATGAACATAAATTACCTTATTATCTTCTGATGAGAAATGTTTGAGACAATGCAGAATCACACGATGACCATTTGCATCCTTAGCCAATGTAACAACACCGAGGCATAGAGCTGACATAATTAAAGCTCGTTGCTCCTGGGTTGCAACATGCTCTAATAATGTCTCCACTGATCGGGTTCTGGAAGAAAAAAGAAAAACACCATATTACATATTAATATAAAAGTAAAGACCCGAATTAGCACAATTAGAACTTAGACACGAAGCTAAAGGAGTCAAACAAAGATTCTTTAAAAGTGAATAGCCAAAATCTATACCCATACGGGCTAAGACATAATCTGACTAACTGAAAACGATGCTCTGTCACCATTAAAATGATCTGATTCAGCTGTTCTTCACTGCAGATTTCCACCATCTTCTGAAAAACACAATTCCCAAAGGGATCGACCATCAACTCAGTGACATGATTTATCAGCTCCAAAAAGATGAAAGAAACCTCCTCTGCTGTCAAGCTTTTAATCGTTTCAAGCACAATCCTACATCCATGTTGATCCTTAGCTAGTGACAGAACCCTCCCCCGCAAATCATTGAAACAACGTGGATGCCATCCATTATTCACATCAAACCCCGGAATGTTCGACCTGTAACGCAAGTGGGATTTTTGTTGCAAATTGTCCCCACCCCCATTCGAAAGTGGCACACTCGAAAAAGGCTCAGAAACAAGAAACCTGTCATTGCTGGAAGAGGAACCGTTGGCACTAAATGTTGGAAAAGTACTGGACCTAAATCTGTTCGAGCTTCCACTATCTCTGTCACACCCTACCCAATAATTCTGCCATAGCATTGCGTCACGATCAATAGCAGCACCGCTGATGTTGTTCCACCCATGAATTTGCCCAACATTGGAGCATCGATAAGGGTGAAACCCATGGCCATAAGAAGAAGAAATTCCTACAGCGCTATTAATATGATCAGAAGATCGATTATCACCAACAAAATCAAAAGGTTGGTCACTGAAGGGAGAGACACGGAGAAGAGCAAAAGCGTCTTCTAATGATTGATTCTTGTGAGGGGGGTTTTGGTTTTCCGACAAAGAGTGAGAAAAGATATAGGGTTGAGGAACCAAAGACGATGAAGAACGATACCGGCCATCATCATCAGCATTCAACATAGATGATGGTATCGACGACATCCCTAGTAGCAAAGGAAAAACGGCGACGATCGAGGGTAAAGCAACAAGGGGGTTTGGGGTAAGGGTTCAGAGGATTAAGCTATAAGGGATTTTTATTTATTAATTATTAATTAATTATGATTAGTAAATACATAAATAAATAAATAAATAATAGCGGAATTAGGGTAATAAATGGATGAGGAGGAAAAGAGAAAGAAGCGGAGTGAAAGAGGAGGTTGTGTGTGCCTCAGCTGGAGTGATAGTACGGAGAATCTTCTATATGACCACCATTCTGCATGCAATTTATAGTAAGTTTACGACTTTACGTGCAGAATCCCAAGTGGACGAGAAAAATAAGAGAGAGAGTGAGTGAAAGAGAGAGAAAGAGACTCTGTGTTGTGTGCTTCCTCGGCGTATGCATGTGAATGTCCTGTCACCTTATATAGGGTTAATCCTCGATTCGTGTCACTTTCAGCCCAAGTGCCTGTGGGCTTCCTTTCAAGTTTCGGTCAACACCCTCATAGACTCCCAGTCTCCCACTACAAAATTTTATCTCTTCTGGGGAAAATTTCAAAAAAAAAAAAAAAAAAACTAAAATTCATATTTATATTTTTAGCATACTTTCACCAATTAAATTAACAGGCGATTTCGTTATAAAATGTAATTAACTTTGTAACATCCCAAGAGCTGGCAAGGGCAGGGAGTGATCGCCGGTGCGAAAGGGCACGGACAATGAGCGGCTCATGCCAAATCTTGCAGCTTGGGGGTTCATGAATGAATCGAATCAACACTCGAAAGAGAGGGATTCCAGAGACTGTGCTGGTATGGGATGGTACAGTTAGGAATGGTTTATAAGAATTAATTGGTACTACCTATACTAACAAGATGCATCTACTTTTCGTTAGCCCAGATTGGAAGAACTCCACAGTTAAGCGTGCTTGACTTGGAGCAATTCTGGGATGGGTGACCTCTTGGGAAGTTCTCCCGGGAAGTGTGCGAGTGAGGACAAAGCACACTGAAAAGTCTCGTGTTAGTGTGTGGGGACAGTCATTGATTCTTGCAAGTTGTCAGGCGTTACAAACTTCCCATACACGTTGTCAGTAAGTTAATTCACTTAAGTTCACGTTTTATACTTAACAGTTCAAAGTTTTTATATACTAAGTTAACGTTTTATACTTCCCATATTTGTTTTATATACTCTTATTAAAAATAATAATTTTTATTGAATTTGATATAAGAAGACCTCTTCTTCACCCCAAAAGTTTAATATATCAAGAAAATAATAAATTCATACACAGGGTGTATTGGTGCATTTGTAAGTAGATATATTTAATTTTGTGATGACTAGGATATTCTAACATTAATTCAATGACTTGGATTTCAAATTATATATTTTTTATTGGTGTTCTGGACCAGTATGATGAGCCTCAAGATTGGACACGTGATCCAATCCAATTATATTCTCAATCGTATGTGAAATTCTCTATAAAAGAAGATTTTATATGATATGTACACAATTTAAAATCTTAATCTCCTGATTATTATTGGACACACATCACTTCCTTTGACTTTCAGTTTCCTCATAGTGCAAAATAATATGTGATAACTTACGGTTAGATATCAAATCCAATAGTCATCTCTAATCCTTTGGGATCAAACAATTGGTAAGTTGTATATACTTTTATTCTGAATTTTATTGATGTTGTAAGTTTACCTTGGCCTTCAAAAGAGAATAGCCTAGTGTACCAAAGAAAAAGAAGAGAATAGCTTCTATTTACATAAACGTCTTTTTTAAATAATAATAATAAAAAAAGAGCGGTATTTCGAATCGATAACACGATCTAATGGCCCATGCAATTGGCACAAAATCCATCTTGTTACTATTTTTAAATAAGTTGGCACCTCCAAACTCTACACATACCTTACTCACGATCGCGACAATGCACAGAATTACACATAAGCAAGGTTCTCGATCGTGCCCCACAATCACACACATTCCAACATAGTGAATATTTTGGATATTTATTTTCCTTATTTAATTGATTGAAAATGAATATTATATCTCTCTCCCTTTATTAATATTGATCCACATTTGTATGGTTATGATTTACTGACCGGATCCGTATGTCAAGTGACTTGACATCCGATTAAACCACATATATGTATGGACTTGTCTACTCTTATGTAATATGAGAGATCATATATCTTATGCTAAGACACAAAATGGTGAAGCCCACCACTAAAAGAGAGAGACAGAGAAAATAGCAGCACAACAATCGAAGGGTCTATGACATAATATACAAGTCTTTTACAGCATGAAATTTGTATTTTCCTATATATATATATATATATATATATATATATATATATATATATATATATATATGAGGGATCTTTTGACTTCGGTATAAAACCTAGAAGTCTTACTCCTCGTCTCAACCGTTGATTTTCGTTAATTTAACGATTGTTATTTATTTGAAATTAATAGTTAATTAATTAATATAACTTAATAAATTATAATCGTTAGATATAAACGGAAATCAACGATTAAGATGAGAAGTAATATTCCTTAGTCTTACATCAAAGTCAAAAGATCCCCTCATATATACATTAATATTATTGTGAGTTCGTATATATGGTTTTTTATTTATGCTGAGTGAAAATTGTGTGTATATATATATATATATATTTTTTTTAAATAAATAATTTTTTTAGATTATACTAATTATATTTGGTGAAATTAATGAAGAATAAATACTTGGGTAATTAAAATAAAATAAAAAACATTGCTCTTGGGGTCCATCTATTTGGTATTGGCATCTGAGAGTCAAAGATGGGAACATCTAACTGATTCACAATTGTAGAAATCAAATTGATCAAACAGCATTAGCAAAAATAACAGTGCAGTTTGTAGAATGTAAAACAGGAGAAGTAATTGCTTGGTCAAAGTATTGATTGAAAAGGAAATGCTGACTAAGACTGCTACTATCTGATATTCCTGGCATACGCATGGAAATCACAAGGAAACTTCTTCGTTCTTCCTTTATGCATATGCCACCATAGCTAGCTCCTAGATTTCTCTTGCATCTATTTTCCTCTTCTATTTTTGGCTGAAGCAGAAGGTTTGCAATAAAATATGTATTATTACATTGTAGTTGCAATTACGCGTAAAATATTCAAGAACGGTCAAACAAGGCTGATATGATAGGTCATAGCTCTCGAAACGCGGAATAAACTTTTCCTCCTATCGGAAAAAAATAAGGTAAGTGTGTGTGGTGTTAAACGTATAAAGTTGTGTCATTTTAAGAGAGAGAAAGAGATAGATAAAGAAGGAGAGAGAGTTGAAAAAAAAAGTGTGGATCCCACCTCTTTGTGAGAGTGAAAAAATACAAGTTGTGTCATTTAAAAGAATAAACACTTTTCCCAAAAAAAAATATGCATATCATAAACCTAGTACATTTGATGTCTAAACGGTTTTTTTTTTTTTTTTTCTTTTGGAAGCCGAGATTTGTGACTTAAAAAAAATATATTATTTTTTACTTAGAGGTATTTTTTAGATATTACTTCTAACGTACAATAACTCTGAATTTAAAAAAAAAAAAAACTGTAAAAAAAACAATACATTAAAAAAAAATTATTAAAAAAACTCATTCAAAACTTTAAAAAGCATAATTTCTTGAGAGCGAAAAAAGTCAGTCAAATCAAAGTAGGCAATATGCTACACATGGAAGAAACTTTTCCAACAACACCCCCGGAATAAATAAAAACTATTGCATAAACATAGTGCAATCAAGTTAAGTACAGAGTAAACATCATTTTTAGTCTTTGTCAATATCTACGAAGTCCTTTTTAGTCCCTGGCAATAAAAAATGACCAAAGTGGTCCCTGAAATTACAAAAAAAGGGTCATGTTAGTCTTTATGTCAACTCCCAAATATGTAGAGTGGCCCTTTTCTTGTACTTTCAGGGACCAATTTGGTCTTTTTTTATTGCGAGGGACTGAAAAGGACTTCGTAGATATTGTCAGGGACTAAAAAGGGTGTTTACTCTTAAGTATACTACACCAAACACATAATTACTTATGGTAATTAACAAATAAGTAACACCATTATGGTATTTAACTTAAATAAACCAAGTTTATGAAAATCCTTGATGATCGGAAAATGGAAAATGAAGGAAGAGCATTTATTAACTTTTAAGTTTTAATGAACCCAACCTTTTACTTGAAAATTGATTAGTCCAAGAGATGTTGAGCTTGACCATACACGGTTGAACTTAGTCCAGTTGATATATCAGGTGAATCGCAGCGGGATATGTGTCTAGGGATGAATGTACTAATTCTTGTAATCTTTGTTTGGAAGGGACAGAGAGAGAAAATACCTGCAAAATACTTTGATGCTCAAATTAATATTATATCATTGAACTTAAGTAATAATAGAGAAGATGATCATATACATGAGTTTTGAGTCTTCTTTATACAGCAACAGCATGATGTGCTTATGTCGTCTTAATATGGTGGTATTCAATCTAATTGGTAGGTTCAAGTGGCATCTGCAGCTTATACTGTTACAATTGTGTATGTACAGGATGACATATATGTAGGATGGATGTGTTTGTTACAATTGTGTATTTACAGGATGACATATATGTAGGATAGATGTGTTTCTTTACCCGTTAAGTCTTTATTATTGAGTCGCTTGGATTGTAAAATGAGTTGAATCATTTGTCCCGCTAAGTTTGGATTCAGAAAAATAAAAAATAAAAAGTTAAATAAAATATTTTCACACGATGTTTCTTTCTTTAGCTGAAATTCCCCAAAAAAATTATCAATTTTCAGAACATTTAAACCTTCTCCTAATTTAGAGAACTTTGGATAATTTAAGGGGGGGAAAGGAAAACGAAACTCATTACTTACCCTCGAATATATACTTCCCCTTCATTCCCAGGCTTTTTGACCCTTTTGCCCCTAATTAAATAATTAATAACCAATTTGCCCCTCCCCCAGAACTATCCACCATCCTGCCCCCATTTAGTCGATTAAGTTGCACTTTTAATCGACTAAATGGGCTAAACTCAGAAATTATGAAACGCGAATTTTAGTCGACTAAAAACTCACCTTAATCGACTAAATTGTTTGCACTTTTAGTCGACTAAGAACATTATTTAGTCGACTAAAGATCGCGAAAAACCCTATATCCAGACCTCTCTTGGTCTCATTTTCATTATATTCGAAATCAAAACTCCTCTCTTGGTCTCTTTCTCTTGTTTGTCAGCTGTGAACCTTCCAATCACCCTTCCATTTCATCCCATCACCTCTAAGGCATAGTAATTGTGAAATCATTGTCATTTTCCTTTATTTCTCAATTGTTTTCCCCAAATCCGAACCCTAACCCCTAAAATCTGATTCCTACCCCCAAAATTCGTGTGAAAGATGAGCTCAAGTCCAAACATGTATGTTACCATGATTTACTATGATGGAAAGCATAATGAAGGCCCCAACGGTGTTCAATTTGAAGGAAAAACGAAAATGTTGAAAATCAAACGGGGCACTACGTACAATGAGCTGAAGGGGAGGATTCACCAAAAATTGGGGCTACACGGCAGCCATGGCGTTCAACGGATGATCGCCAGGGTAGAGTCTACAGTTGGTAAGGATGCTATATTCTACATTGGTAATGATATATGTGACGATGAAGATGTGGACTGTGTCATAGATGCAATTGCGGACCAAAAATTTCAAAACTTTATTGAGATATATGTTGAAATAGACTGTGGTCAATCTTCATCTGCACCTGTGCATGGAAGAAGTCAAAGTCAAGAAGACAGAGTGGTCGGTTTATCTGCACCTGCACCTGTCTTAAGTCAGATACCACTGAGGGAAATAGACGAGGATGAGGATGAGCATGACGAGGATATGGACAGTGAAGACGATGGTGAACCCGAGAGTGTTATTCCGCTGGGTGACACCTCAGATACGGACGTAGAGGGGAATTTTGACGCTGATACTAGTTTAGGAAACTTGAGTTCCCAGGTTATGCCACCGCTCCGTGTTGACCCTGTTAGCAGTGGTAAGATTGTAAATTACAGTTTTAATTTTGCATATATATATATATATTTGTGTTTTCTTTCGTACTGACGGATAAGTTTAAATTTGGACGTAGGTTCTGAGATTGAGCCATTTTGGAACGACAGCCCACACTATTCGTTCATTAATTGGGCTCACCCTAATGATGAGACGGAGATATTGTATGGCGACGATGACATCCACGGTGGCTGGCATTTAGGGGATCCATTATATTTGTACCAGGAGTTTCGAACTAAATCTGAAATGCAACATGCAGTCAAATTATATTGTATGAAGTCTCATCGTACTGCTGTGGTGGCAAAAAGTGATGACCATAGATTTGTGATGAAGTGTCGACACCATAATGATGGTTGTCCCTGGTACGTGCGGGCTATGTTGCCCAAGAATGGAAATAGTTGGGTTGTTAGTAAGTGGGGTAAAAAACACACTTGCCTAAACCAAGGCCTTACTCGGGACCATAGACAGCTGGATTCTGATGTAATCTGTGCAGCCATTATAAGTATGTATTACATTCATTTTTGTTTATGGTTTAATTTTTCGGTATATTTATTGATTGTGTTGACTTCGAATTTTGTATAGGTATGTTAAAAGAAGATCCATCCACGAAACCAGTTCTTATTCAGGAGAGGGTACAAAGTTTGTATGGATACAACATATCTTATAGGAAGGCTTGGAAGGCTAAAATGAAGGCCATTGTGAAGTTGTTTGGGGACTGGGAAAAATCATATGCCATCTTACCTGGTTGGCTGACCTACATGACACAGATAAATCCTGGTTCTGTGTTCAAGATTGATACGGATCAGTGTTGTGACGAACGACGAGTCTACACCGATAAGGCTGTCTTTCGCAGGGTATTTTGGACTTTTCACCAGTGCATTGAGGCTTTCAAATATTGTAAACCCATAATCCAAATTGATGGCACGCACCTGTACGGGAAATACAAAGGTACCCTCTTGATTGCTACGTCACAGGATGGTGATGGATTCATTCTGCCTATTGCGTTTGCCATTGTTCCACCGGGTGAGAGATTGGATGATTGGTTGTGGTTTCTTAGCCAGATGTGTTTCCATGTCACACGTAGGCATGGTATATGTCTAATATCCGATCGTCACCCCAGCATCATCAGGGCTGTGAAGGATCATGCCGGTTGGCAGCCTCCATTTGCGTATCACGTGTTTTGTCTTCGTCACATTGGAAGCAACTTCAACACTAAGTTTAGGGACGTGGAACTGAAGAAAACGCTGATGAAACTAGGTAACCTATTTACATGAATGTGTACATGTTGTATGTAATGTTGTTTATGTATAACTCATTGCAATTTGGGTTCATTTTTTGCAGGTTACATGTGTTCGAAGATTCACTTTGATTTAAGATTTCAAGAATTTGTCGACAGTAACCCACAAGTAGCCTCATGGATAGATCAAATTCCCAAAGAGAAATGGTGCAGGTCTTATGATGAGGAGGGCCGAAGGTTTGGTCATATGACGACTAACCTATCTGAGTGTATCAATAAGGTCCTACGGGGTGCACGTAATTTGCCAGTAACGGCATTGGTCAAGATGACGCAAAGTAGACTTGTAGAGTATTTTGTGAAGAGGCGTGAAAAGATCCAAAAAGTAAAGGACAAAGGCTGGAGAATTGCAAAAAAGGTTGAGGACTTCTTACAAAAGAATGATCAGTTAACTGTCAGTCTCTGTGTCCGTGTTTTTGATAGAGACTTGCAGTTGTTTGAAGTTGAGGATGCCTACAATCAATCTACGCATGATGCCGGCGACATTATGAGGGTTGACTTGTTAAATCGTAAATGTCAATGTGGACGGTTCACAGCTAGACGATTTCCTTGCAGTCATGTGCTAGCGGTGTGCAAGGTTGAAAAATTGAACCACTATGACTATGTCGATCCTGTGTTCTCAATTACACAAATTGAGAAGGTCTATGCTGCACATTGGTTTCCAATGGGTAATGAGTTGTTGATCCCAGAAATAGATGGTCCAACTATTATCCCAAATGCATCTTTGGTTCGTGCACAAGGTAGACCGAAGTCTTCAAGGATACAAAATGAAATGGATTGGGTCGAGTCCCAACCCACAAGCAGTCAAACTAGATGTAGCACCTGCAAGCAAATTGGTCACAATAAACGTACATGTCCTATGAGGATTAATCCTAGCTGAACCAATGTTGTGCATGTATTTAAGGTCTTTTGTAAGAGTTCATGTAATTCTGTTATGAATTTTGATGTTACTTTGTGTTACTGTATAACTCATTATGTAATTTGACATTTCATTTCTAAGTCCATTATCTAACATTGGTCCATATTGATAGATTGAAACTCATAACTAATACTAATATTACCAAAAAATGAAATCACCAAGTTTCGGGGAGCGTAAACAAACGGTTTGGGGTAATACGTACCCAATCGCATACGAATCCTGTACAATACTATTTTGTACCTGAAAGTGTGTTCCCCAAGTCATTATATGCGTGTACATTGATATTCGATCGGTTCCGTGCCAAAAAATACGTGCAAAACAGAATAGGGTGTCAAAACCAGTTATTTAGTCGAGCAACCTGTACTGGTTTAGTCGACTAAACTGTGTAGTCCACTAAACCAGTACAGGTTGCTCGACTAAATAACTGGTTTTGACACCCCATTCTGTTTTGCACGCATTTTTTTGGCACGGAACCGATCGAATATCAATGTACACGTATATAATGACTTGGGGAACACACTTTCAGGTACAAAATAGTATTGTACAGGTTATAAACCACGAATGTACATGTACTGCATAAATACTCCAAATTAGGGTATCCGAAACTTGTGTTCTTCTTTTAACTCTGTTAAGGTCACTTGTTCTGAATTTCATTGGACATTTTAGACCCGTTGGACTGTGATTAGACACAAATTGAAAACAAGAAGGTAAAAGATATTTGTTCCTTCATTTGGTAAATAAGAAAACAACAATAATTACGTAAACGGTTCACAACATGATGGGAACATCAAATAGTTCATTTCATAACCATAATATTACATAAACTACAAATGTCAAATAGGAAGACCGAAGTCAATTACATAACAACATACACTACAAACGTAAAATAGAAACATAAACCCTAAATCTAATCCTCCTCGGACGCCGTCTCCTCGTCATCCTCATCTGACACATCAGCCCCCTGCCCTGCAACATCCTCAATCTGCTGTCCTCGTCCAAGCTCTAGACGAGCAAGCCTATCTTCAACACCCTTGAACCGTCCCTGTATATGTCTAAATCTTTCATTTCCCTTCTGCACGTCCCTGTATATGTCCACCCCGCAGACCCTAGACCTCAGCTCACCCTGATGGTAGCTGAGGTTATGGTAGAAGGCCCGTACATGCAGCTCAGAATATGAGCACGACAGTTCAGCCAAGGTCCTAAGATGTGATTCCTCCAACCACCTCACAATGTTAAAACCTTCTTGTTCAAAAAGGGCTGTATCAAGTGATTTGGCCCCACAAATCGGTCGGTTAACAAAGTCACGAACAAAAGATTCATGAACCACCGGGTCATTCTCGAACAAGTATCCGAATGGGAGGTCGACAGCAGCGGGGTCTTCCTCTTGTGGCCTTGACGAAGACGGACGGTCTTGTCGTAGCTTCTGTCGTCTCTCATTTCCAGTGCTAGACGATCTTCTACGGCCAGCCATGGGAACAACTGTACCTACAATGCAAGTGGAAACAAAAATCAATGAACAATAACAATATCAAAAAATTTAAAATTCAATATAAAAAACAAAACCTAATCCTAAAATAAAACAGAAATCAGAAACCCTAACCCTAACCCTAAACACAAAAACCCACTCCTTGCCCTAACACTACAACCCAAACAAAACAGCAACATAAACCCTAACCCTAACCCTAACCCTAACCCTAACATAACCCTAACCCTAAGCCTAAGGCACCACATCAACCCTAACCCTCACCATCACAACAAACTTAGCACCCTACCCCTAACCTAAATCCACAAAACCGCAAACAGAAATCAAATGCATGAAGAAAACAAAAAAAAAAAACTAAACTTAAAACCAAATGCAAGTCAGAATACGTTACCTAAATGTCGATTTCGCAAGTGTGAACCAAGGAAGCTTCAATCGCACCTTCAAGGGTTGAGATTCGGACTTGGTTGGAGAGGGGACGGAATGGAGTGATTTAGTCGATTAGGGTTTGAAAATAACCCCCTTTGCGAAATGGGGGAGTTTTTAAAAAACCTGATCTGCGACATTTAGTCGACTAAATAATGTTCTTAGTCGACTAAAAGTGCAAACAATTTAGTCGATTAAGGTGAGTTTTTAGTCGACTAAAATTCGCGTTTCATAATTTCTGAGTTTAGCCCATTTAGTCGATTAAAAGTGCAACTTA